GTTTCACATGTGCTCTCTTGAACCTCTTGAATGTGAAATGCACCCACACTGAGCTGATTAAAAGCTCCTGCGAGTGTGAATTCTCCTCCCTGAATAGGTTTTTACACCACAAAAGAACATTTCATAGATCATATTTGAAACGGATAGGAGCCTTAAAAGCAACTTTATTCTACTGCCATTACAAAACAGGGCTTTCATTGTCTGCCGCTGAAATGCTTTGAGTCATCTTCTTCCAGTAATAACTAATCTCTCGCTCGCTCTCTTTGTATCTGACAATTCACGGACAGCCCAATTACACGAGAGGAAAGTGGCACACCAGTTTCAGAGGGTGGACTCCAACATCCAACTAACGTTAAATGATTTTGGTTTGCAGTATAATTCACTTAAGCAAATGAAGTCTGCTCTTAAATAGATTATCAGAATGTAATAATAAAAATGGTTAAATTGCAGCAGCATGGTCTAATAAAGACAGAGCCAAACATGATTATAAAAATCAGGAGACTGAAATTACACAGTGTAATTTGTGAAACCTGGCAACTATTTATTCTAATTTATTTATTAAAATCCAGAGCTCACATTTTTGTATACAGTTTTTCATGTCAAATCTGCTTCTTAGTTACTAATATTTCTGTCACTCGAGTGACCTACCATAAAGCCCACTTGACATCAACACAGGTGTATGTGCGAAAGTCCACCGACATGTGTATCTCTGCATTTCATACAGACTTAAAATACAGCTGGCACAACTTTTGTGTCAAGCACTTGCCAGTAATTGCCTTCATGAAGATCCAGCCAAACCTGTCCAAGAGTCTATGGGGAAAAAACCCAGAAACACAACAGAAGGAATTTTAAGAACGGCATAATGCCCATGCACACAATTTGAGAGACAATTTTAAATTTGATCTCTCAATTCGCAAGCATTTGATTTCACAGAATAATAACATGGGCTTTTTTATGTAATATCTAATCTGAGGGAAGAAGCCTGAAAGGGAATACTTAGAGTGAATTGACAATGTGTTTCACTTTCAAGTATCTGCTCAGCAAGATGCATATTGAGCATACATCTGAACTCGTAAGACAGAGGGAACCCTTATCTACAATCATAAAATATGAAATGCAGCTAAGATACATGCCACATGTTCTTCAAGATAATCAGGAACTTCATATACTGTACTATGTCAAACCACTTACCTGCTAATGGGCACTTGCTGATCATATCAGATATGTCAGAGATTTCCTGCAGACGCTAAAGAATGCTCATGTATAACTAAACTTTCTGGATTTAGCTCCTTGGAGCCAGTGGTAAAACTCTGGGTTAAGACTGTTTAAGCCTTCTCACAAAGTAAGATAAATCCATAGCATATATTCATGAAAGAAGAGAAACAAGTATTAACATTTGCAAAATAACATTGTCAGGGACCTCATTAAAATAACTCTCTTTTCCCTGTTAGCACTGCTCCCTTATACCCCAAGCTTTCTTTTAGGACTGTATCTGAATAAACGAGATGTCACAAATCTAAAAACAACAAAGGTTATTGCTTTTAACTTACATTCTCATGTTTCCATTATGATTTCTATCGTGAACAGAAAAGTGGCTGAATTATCTGATGATTTCCTTTCAGGGAATGCTGTCATCTCTCAGTCAGACATATCTAAGACATGCAAATGATTAAGGAAAAAATACTGCCACTCCTCTCATGCAGCATGTGCCATATTTCACAGCTACCAATGTTACGATCTTCAATAAACGGAAGCCAACAATTCGCTTCAAGTCATGAAAGCACTAAGCTTAGCTGTGAATGACTGCATATAGAGTATGTTGTGACACATGCAGGAAGTGTTGTGTTTTATACGAAGAAAGTTCAGATTCTTCTTGCCAATGTGATTTTGAAAAGGAAGCAAGTCCTTGCCAAAAAAAGATATGTTTATTTTCAAAATACTTATATAGTCCTTACCACTCCTGTATTTCAGGTTCCACTTGTATACATATACTGGCATACAGCACGACTCGATCTATCATCCTCTCTTCGGTATGCAAGGAGCACACAGACCAAGAGCGGAAATAAAGAGGCCACGCTTTATTCATCATACAAGGAAACAGAACCATAATCCAGAACAAAAAGTATCTGGTGAGAAGTAATAAACTCTTCCTCCCAGCCAAATCCCACAGCAAATCCTTTGATCCATGTAAGAACTACGTTAAGCAGCAAGGCTTGATCCCCTTGATCTAAATGCCTGCACCTCAAGCCTGCAAGCTGACCTGCCTTACCTGTCATCGCGTGGCTACAGTTCAGGGTCAACCAGCTGGCTACATTCTTTTTTAAATTTTTGAGGGCTGAATGCTTACCATTTGTTTCTGCAGAACCTTATCTGCTACTGACTCTTCTGGACCCAGGGAAGAAGTAGGTAGACACCTAGGAAAGTCATGACTTGCTTGGTGAGAGTCCCTTTGCTCTTGCCAAGTCCTCAAACCAACTAATGGGAAAGGCAGTAGTGATTCAGCTGGGAAATGCTCTGGTGCATCTCGCCTAGGGAAGAATTGAAAAGAAACTTGCATGGGAAATCCTCTAAGTGAAATAATTTCAGAGAAACGTAATGCATTACTGCAGTTGCAGTGTAAGCTAGCGAAAAAGTATTTCCAATTCACTTTTTATTCCAGAACTACTAGGCTTAGATTATTACAACTCCTACACAGAATAAGCTAAATTTATCACTGTTCCTTAATACTGTGTTGCATTTTACAATGAAAATGGAACATTCATTTAACAGGCTTTTTGTCTAAAAATATGGCATTTTTCCATAAACACATTATTGCACATTTACTTTTTTACAAGAGCTAAGGGTGAAGCTTTCCTTTTCATTTACAAATCAATAATATCTTAATTTCCATTTTCAAAATTGCATTGTTTTTCTTGCTATAATTATATCCCAAGGGGGAAAAAAATGCTTTTGAGTGCAAGGTATCTTCATTTCTAATACTAGATGAAGCTTTTTACTAGTCAAAAATTAACAGGTGTAAATTGATAAATTAACCTAGCAAAATTATACATTATCCTATATACTATGTTTAATTAGCACATACTGTAGCACTTATGCATAACTAACATACAGCAAAATATTTTGTACTTAACAGCAAAGGCTTCATGCCCAGTACAACACTGGAATACTGCACTGAAAGGCAATGAGGAGTGAGCAAATAACTGATACCCGAGGTCCATCTGACATGACAAAGTGACACCTCCCAGCCAAACATACAGTAAAAACCTATTTAACACTTCACCTTCAAATGGGTTTAAATTCATCATTAACAGTTCTGAGTTTGTATTACAGTCATGGATGCAAACTCTGTCTGTGTATTTACACATGCACTTCTATATACATACACGCATAGCACTGTATGTCCTTCTCTCTGCACCAGGTTCAGTGCTGCTTACGGCGTTAGCAGAACCGTCCTATACAACTAACAGCAGAGAGGGTCACGTACCCCTGCATAATGCTGACGCTCATGTCCGTACCAATTGACTGGTTCTGCCAATGGCTGCAAAGACGAAAGCAACAGGTCTTTCTGCAACTCTGTAAGAGACCTATGGAAAGCATGTTACTTTGTTTCTAAATAATGACTTGACTACAGCTATACCTACTGCAAGCCTTGATCTGCAGGTAACCAAGGAGTTAGATGCTGTTCATCTGTTAACTCACAGGTGAGCTCACCCACCCAGGAAAAGTCATCAGATTGGCTTTTAGAAATTCCCCTTGTCTCACAGACAGTACTCTACTGAATAGTGGTGATTAACTTCAGTTATGCCTCTCATGATATTCTGAAATCTCTAAAGAACCCGTTGACTGCTTACTACAAAAGAGACAGACAGATAGGCCCATCCTTTGCTACGGCAATCAAGATCATCTTTGTTTCTGTGGGAATAGCAGAAATCCCCTAATACAGTTCATCTGTAGATACAATCTTGACCTCTGAACAATTACTTAAAAGCTGAATTTCTTGTAGACACGAAACAGATTGTTCTGTTTAAAGAAAGACTTTTAAAAAACAGATGGTTAACACATTAATTGACTGGCTAGGAAGAAAGACTGTACACTGAATGAAGAAATTCTTGTCATATACATACTCCCAGTTTGCAGCTCTTCTGTAAATTCAACACCATACATGAGAACATCACGTCCTTGTCTCATTAATACAGTCATCACCCTTTAACATACAGGCTGTTTTAATTTATTAAAGATTACACCTGCTTTTCGGTCTTTTCTGTTTAGTCCATAGGACAATATTAAAAATGTTTTAAATAAAATGAATACCATAGAGAGTTTTACAAAATATTTATTTTGAAAAAATCACTCTGTACAAATTTAACGTTCTCAACACCAAAGTTTTATAAAAATGCTAACACAACAGGAAGACAAGTGAAACATGAAGCTGATCTTTTCTTAACTTACAAAGAAACGGATTCATTCGAAAGAAGCTGTTCTAAACATTAAAGAGAACTTTATAAGGCTTTACTTTTATCTATTACAGCCAAATACATGTATCAAAGGATGACTTTTTCCATCCTTTTTATAAACTCCCCCCCCAAACACTGTCCACAACTAAACCAAATACTCTAAATGGTTTACACCTTTACTGTACATAGCTTGTGCTCCCAGAAAAGCTAGCACAATTTGACCATCATTTTCTCAGTGCCTAACAAAAAGTCACCTCTATACATTTGGTACAAAATTCTCTGTACAAACCAATTTTGCTCATGTAAATTTGAAATAAACTTAGAGGAGGAGTATTTATTTGCGCCTTTAATTTGGCATAATGAAGGAACAGCGATTAAGTAAAACTTCACAAAGTAAAATTCAGTAACTGGGAATACTGTCCTTTTCTTTTTAAGAATTACTATCATATAAAAAAAATTTATATACTGCAGGTTATTAGGAATGGCAGATCCTAAATCTAACAGTGCTAGTTTTATAGTCCTCATCATAAAATAAGATTTTTCTGTACATTATTTAAGTTTCCTCTCTTCATTTTAAGCTATTTGTGAAATCTGTTGTTACATATTGAACAACCTTTCTCAAACAGGATGAGATGTCCCCTCATGAAATGAAACAGTAAAATTGTCATACTACTGTAAACACAATTGAAACGAAGACTGAGAAAATGCAGCGTGACAGGTAAGCCGTGGTCTGGAAAGCTTTTTTCACATTTTCTTAACACAATATATGGCTCACAACACAAACAGCAGCAAAAAAAGCTATTGAAAATTTCAAGTTACAGCCAGGGGTGCCAGGCAGGATCCATTCGACAGAGATTATCCAAGCTATTTGCAGCTGCTACCAGAGTGTTGACTTTGCTTTCTCCTCCTTCAAACTGAGCAAGATTATGAAGTCGAGTCATGATAGCGGTAACAGCTTTTTGAACTAGTGAAACCAGCTGCTGGCTGTCCATATTTTCAGGTTGTCCAGCTGCTGAGAGTGGAGAGGAAGTATCCTCTTGTGTTTTTTTGTGCCATGCAATTATTTCATCCCGTAGCACAGTTTTTAGGATGCCATCAACCTATATGAAGGAGAAAAATCAGACTATTATATTTAATCCAAAGAACCACCAGAGATTACAAAATTGTAACTAGATTTTAGTCAACTGCATTTTGACACTTTTGGTCCTGCACTGCAATCTCCATCTTTTCAGGATCAGTGTGGCTTACAACTGTCTCCACTATTTCCTCTCAAGGTGTTTCTTTTCATAAAAAGCTTTCATTACGAAAACACAACACAATGACTCCTACAGAAATGAAAAATCACATAAACGATAATGTATATTAAGATCTTCATACACCAACACAGTCATGTACATTCTATTTTTAAATGACTCCGCAAAATTGATGACTTTTCCCACACACATGCACACATACACAGAAGTCTTGTGCGAAGATTAAGAGTGCGTTACTAAGCTGGGGGTTTTTCTGCGCAATGATTACACTCTCAGGGAATACTGTTTTCTGCCAAACAGGAAAGAATACTGACTGCAACATACATACGTATATTGTGTATATATGTATATACATACGTATATACAGGCCAGTTCCATCCTCAGATGAAAAAGAAATGCCTCCAACAAATAGTTTCCCGTTTTTTCTCATCACTGAGTTGAATTACTGACACTAATCTGTCAACTCCAACTGTCTTGAGATTCTAAAACAAACTTTTAGGTATCCAGTCTGAGTCAAATTCACTGTTTGCACGAACAAATAAAACATTTTATAACACATATAGGTATTGTGCCAACATATACAAACACGTATTAAATATATTTTACAGACATTTGTATAAAAGCTAAATGTAGAACATGTTAAAATCATTCCTCTCAAGTCCAAAAGGCAGATAATCTAAAGCAATAGTTGCCACAGGCCTGAACTGAGCTGGGCACCCGTCACTCCAAAAAGAATAAATGGGCACCTGTGCTCTGATCTTCAAGACATCATAGAGCCATAGACTATCTCAAGTTGGAACGGACCCATAAGGATCACCAAGTCCAACTCCTTGCTCTTTGCAGGACTACCTAAAACTAAACCACATGACTAAGAGCCTGGACTAACATCCAGTTGTCGTCCTTGAACTCTGACAGGCTTGGTGCCATGAACACTTCCCTGGGAAGCCTGTTCCTGTGACCAACCACCCTCCCAGGGAAGAACCTTTTCCTCATGTCCAATCTGAACTTCCCCTGATGCAGCTTCATTCTATTCCCTTGTGTCCTATGGCTGGTCACCAGAGAGAGGAGATAAGCCTCCCCCCTCAGCTACCTCCCTTGAGGAAGGTCCCCCCTCAGCCTCCTCCTCCCCAAGCTGAACAAACCAAGTGACCTCAGCTGCTCCTCATAAGTCTTGCCCTCAAGACCTTTCACCATCTTGGCCACCCTCTTAATAGCCTGATGTCCCTCTTGTACCGAGGTGCCCAAAACTGCACACAATGTTCAAGGTGGGACCGCACTGCATCGGTGTGGCAAGTCTAACTGGGCATACACCATTCAGATGTTGAAGTTACAGGCCATGTCTGCACATATGCACGTATAGACATGGCTTTGTGAGGTAAGATGATGAATTATTAAAAAACATTCTAACACAGATTTATGTATCATAGATGAAGAAAAAAATCACTTTAGGTTACTTTCCATCTTTTAAAAAGGAACTAGCTCACACCAACAGCTACAGTACGTTCTGTGCAATGCCTTTCTGGTGCAAATTGCTTGCCAAAGTACAAGATGCCTCATTTTTGGAAAGCACTAGCATTTAAAAGGAAGTTAGACAATTTCTTTAGAAAACTACACCCTGCTAAGAGCTAGAATCCATCAAAGTAGCAGTACATCTTCAGCATTCTGTTCTGGTAACAAAGGGCCAAGACACATTTCCTAGTCACACATTATTGTGAAGATTCTAAATGATGTTGTATTTGTCATTTTATTATTTACCACTGCCACATTTTGTAAGGATTTACGAGGCTAGAGCACTGAAACAAGCATCCTGAATTAACATGTTCGGACAAAAAATTAAATTAAGGACAGAATTACACCTAATTACACCTCCTCCTATTCTTTCCAATAATGCAAACTGAAAACATTTCAGCTGGCCCTTGCTATGACCTTAGGGTAAAATTTAAAAACAAATACAGAATGTTCAGTTTCTACCTTAACCCAGAAAGTGCTGTTTAGTTTATAGACTGCCAAATACAACATGCCGGCAAACAACCTTTCAACAGGTATACAAACCTTAAAGTTTGGCTGCGCAAAGCAGCGAGCTACTGCAATCATAGATGCAGTCAGTGGACCAGACACCCCAATGGTGGTAAGAAATTCAGAAATGTTTGGTGTAAGTCGGAATGGAACTGGACGATTGGCATCCAAATCTCCAGTAGCATCATTAATGTCAAAGCGAAAGTAAGCTACATTTAGCTTGCCAGTATCCTGGATTTAAAAGCAAGATGTACAGAAGTAATTAAAGGAACAGATTTTCATTAATGAAAACACAGTAAGTTTGATTTTTGTCTTCTGTTAATACTCAGAGTACAAAAAGTGCTACAATAGCTCTTCCCTCTTTCAGTCACAGTTTCTGAGAAAAAAAAAAGTTAAAATTAAAGGCATGCACAAAGTCAGGTAGTTATTTCTCTCAAAAGGTATGTCCAAATTCCCTTACTAAACACACATTATTGTCATCTCAAACTTAAGGAATAGACTGTTCTGTAGCACGGTCTATAAGGAGTCATGCAGGTGCACCGATCTCTGTTCTCTGTGCATCCCAGCTCTGGGTAAGCATTCTCTGTGCATTGTTCACTCTGAGTAAGAATCTGAACGCTTATTTAGGGGGATTAAAGAATCCTAATTGCTATACAGAGTATAACCTTCCATGCATTAAAATGGCATTAAGACTTTAATATATACCACCTTTGCCCTACTAACGTGGTGAGCCTCATTTTAAATGTTGAGTTAAAATAGAAAAATCACTATTAATAGGAGTTGTAGCTTGACATGATGGCAATGCTGAAAAGAGAACAGTGTTTGAAAAAGGGTACACCCCTTCAAGAAAATGAAGCTCTAAATTTCTTTATTTTTTAAAAATCTGTTTGACAGATATATTCAAAGCAATATATTTGAAGGAGGACTAAAGAGATAGACTTATCAGTCATTTACATAAACAGTTCTCATACCTAAGAACAATTTTACAAAGTTCTAAATTCTCACCACAGAAGGTAGAGTCGATGTCCATGGGGACTGCAGTTTAAATTACTACCTACATGATGTGCAATCACATACAAATGAAAAGCCTACTGAAATGCGCTGTTAATTATATATGTTGAATTACTCTTTTGACTCATTTCAAAAGTATAGTCTAAATTTCCATTTGATCAAAGACGACAGCATGCATCTAGAACAAACTACATCATACCTGGGCAATCTGCAGCATTTCAGGGTTCAGTCTGTTTAAATGAAAGATGAATTCTGCAAAGCCAATTAGGGCTAACTGAATAGTGAACATCTTTCGAAAAGTCCAGTAATCTGTAGCATTGGGGAATGTATGTAAAGCCCACTCCTTCAGCATGCTGCGCGGCACCATGTTACTCTGTACTTCTTTAAGTATATCTCTGAGAACCTATGCATGAAAAATATTAGTTGAAAGAGATCATTTCTAACACCCTTCCTAGCATCAAACAAATATGCCAAAAGCAACGACCAAACTCCTCTCAACTGCTCTATCCTATTTTAGGAAAACCATCCTGAACCTGGATGCTTTCAATCCAATGTTGTTTTCTGACTTTTGTCAAAACACACATAATATTTTGTTAGCCCATCCTCTGCACAGCTAGAAAATGTTCTTTATCTGAAAAGACTGAATTTTTAATAAAACTGTACAAGCAAGAGAACTGCAATCAGGCATGTCAGAAAACCTGAGACTGAACAGTTACGTAACCTGATTTGAAGTATCTTCTATTCCAGACTTTCAAGAAAATCAGAAGTGAGCTGAAGAGACATTCAACTCGCTATGCTGCACTTCCTTATGGGAAACTAATAGAACATACTTCACTCTTTTCTAACTTCAGTGCAAGCTGGATAAGCATTTTGCAGCAATAAAGTAAAATTCTTTATTTTAAGCATAATGGCAAGACTTGAAATTATACATGGGACCTACAAAGCATGCAACCTAAAGATGGCTCTCTGAATGGTTTCTTCATACACATGGTAAAAGGTAAAGGATTTTTATTACACAAGATAGGAAAAGACACTGAGTAATTTGTAACATGTATTATTAAAGCAGAATTACCTCAAAAACACAAAAAGATAAAAGCTGAGAGCTGTATTCAAGTGTTTCTGTAAGTGCACATTGCGCAATAGTTTTTTCCCTAGATGTAAACATTTGCAGTCTACCAAAATATTTAATTACTGTAGCATGTACTAGCCTAATTAATTAGAAACAGAAATAAAGTTAGGATTTGTTCAACAGAAAGCATGATAGTCATACTGACTTCAATTAAATAGCTGTTAAGAGTTTCATAACCTGAAGGAAAAATTCTCAAAATAGACAGGTGTTACGTAACTCTTCATTTTATTTTGTAACAAAGAAAGCCTGAAAAGATAGTTTCTCTAAATGATGTCTGTGTTCCTGTATACTGTGTATTTTCTAATAGCTATATTTGAAATGGGACTGGCACTTATATATATCAGAATTTGCATTAACGTTAAGATAAAAAGCATAAAATAACCTTATTTATCACAACTGGATGTCTGATGGAGGTTACAGAGAGAGGGAGCTTTGTTCTTCCCGAGTGCTATCATTTATTAGGGTGACATTACTCATCTGGTTCTATTTGACTTAGATTAAATGAATCCACTGGCAATTTCAGGAGATACATTAGAAGAACATGGGGAACCCTGCATCACACACCATGCTGTAACTCCTTATGTAAATTAGGAATGCTGTTTCCCATGTTATCAATTAATTATTTTCAAAGCACTATACAAAAGGGCGAAAAAGCAATCAATGCCTTGTCTGTTTTCAGTTGCAGTTACCCAAACCAACCTAGAGTAAAACAAATACTGCTTCTTTGAAGCTCTCCAAGATAATCTAAAACACCGAAGAGATGTAAGAGTTCCCAAGAACATATTAAGCAAAATTGAAATAAACACCGAAAAAAATCAAACATCACCTCTGCAAAACATATCTGTCCCACATCTAATGAGAGATGAAGAGCTGGGGCGGAGGGGGGGATTGGACACAGTGTAGTAGAGTCCTCAAGAAAAGCCCTTGATTAAAATTCATTATATATTCTAATACCTGATGGCTAGCTTGAGTCCCCCGTGCTTGGACCGTTGCCAGTCTGTCATAGTAACGCGAAATAGGGTTGTCATGCTCAATGCCTTTCTTGGCACAGCGCTGCTTATAGATCTCCACCAGGGACAGAGAGGAGGGATTGTCTTCAACCAAACGCATCTGTGGAGAAACTGCTACAACACGGGGGACTAGGAGTAATTTGAGAAGGGTGAGAGAGGATGGAGGTGGAAAGGCAGAGAGAGCAAAACACAACAGTTAATCCATAACCCAAATAGTAAGAGAAGAACTAGCATGCAAGTATCAGCCCTTAAAACACAACTGTGATAATCCACTGAAGTGTATCAAGAGAAAATTTTTATTAATACACTCATAACTAGTTCACAAGCTCAGCTAAAAAGAATGCTAGCACATTTTTTTAAAATCTTAACAAATATCAACTATATTAGCAAAAAAACTTGAGCACTCGTTATTTTTCCTACTTTTCTTTACCTGCAGAAAAGAGGGTAATACTTTGTTCAGATGCAAACAGGTTCATAATATCTGATTACACGACATTGGCATTATGTCATTAAAAATTACTCTGAGGAACACAACTACTGAACTCAATAGGCTATTTAAAGTAATTCAGAAAAAATGGAGGAATAAAATCTGAACATAGTTGAGGAACAGATATATGACACTATTTGAAAGTAACATAGGGAAAACACAGCAAAATATTCAATAATAAGAAAACTTAAGCCTCACAGCTTTTCCTGCATGTGCAGTAACTTGCAAAAAGCCTTTTTGCACTTTCACAGCACTCAACAGATATATTGTCCTACTGAGTCCCACCTACAGCAGGGAAGACAAGGCCTCTTCCATGGTTAGCTTTTCCCATGACACTAGTTGTACTGTTTGACAGCGACCTCCAGTTACCACCAGAACTGTTCTCTCATCATTTCCCTCAGCAGCTGCAATAATTAACCTCAGAAATATAGGGAAAAGTTGTTTAAATGCATTTAAATTGTTTGATGTAATTTCTTCAATCTTAAAGAAAAAAGCGCATTCTGCAGAAGGGGTGTCAATGAGCTATTTCTTCTGGTCTGCTTCCATTAAACTCTGGCAGCAGAGAAATGAATGTTCTTTAGGTTCTTTCAAATAGTATCAAACCACAAGCTACAGAATTATTTCTTAAAACACTTTAAAAACAGCTCTTTGAAGTAAAACATGTTACTTTACGAATCATGTTAAACAGAGGATATATTTCTGTATCAGTGGCCTTGTTTATCATATCCTTCAAGGCTTCACCTATTGCATTTCTGTTATTTTGGCCTCAGAGTGATAAAAATTGTCTTCATATATGTAGAGACACTATACCTACCCTTTGTAATAATAAATCCTTTGGCTTGTACATTTTAGTCTTTTTAAAGTTAGAACTCAAATATGCATTTCTAGCTCTGTAAGTACAACTTGCATCATCTCGCCTAAGCTCATTACAGCAACTTCAACAGATGATATTAGCCAAAAAAGGAGGACTGATAAAACCATACTTTTTTAAAAATCAGATGTCAGCACTTTTTAAAAGGACAACAGCAAAGTAGCAGCTTTGTCTTAGTGTCTTTGATTAGTTTCCCTTATCCATATTTCCTGCTCACCAACCGAGGGTTATTAGAACTGACTAATGCAATGTGCAGAACTCACTTGTATAAAGTAAGTGATTCACTGACCTTCTGAAATGAAAAGTAATATTAAGTATTATTCATATACATATTCATACACTCAATATGAAGTAGCTACACAGCTGTAAGCTGGAACTTGCCAACAGCCTTAGTATCTGGAAAACACTAACTATTTTAAAGCATTGACATTAGTATTTGAATCACAAGCAGATCAAGTGTGTTGCCAGGCCAGACTCCCATACTCTCTGTTTCTCACTTCATGAATGAATTATTTGTAATTGACACATGAAAAAGCCAAGATACACAAGGTAAGAGAAAGAATTAAGACTGCAGGTTCAGCCTTCATTCACTGTTTCTGTTTTGAAATGACTAAATATGTGAGTTCTTAATTACGTATTTTGGCCATTTATACACATAAATCACATTGCAACCCTCCTTAACGCTTCTCATAAAGGCCTCCCTACAATTATGTTCGTTAATTCTACATAATGTTTAAGCACTGCCATGTGATGCTGTTGGCCAAATGCACTCTCCAGATCAAGTAACCTTTCAGAAGTATGCTCAACAGAAGTTCTGTATCTAATATCTAGACTACGAAGGGATTTTATGTGGCAACAACTAACACATCCGTATGTATTCCTGAAAGTGAACATCACCATGGATATATAAAGTTAGTTCAAAATTACAAAGATAGGTTCTCATACCAGAGAATTCAGAAGCCATGTATCAAAATCAAAGCTCTACCAAAAAATTCTTTCTCCTTCTGTGTTATGCGGAACAGGTAAAAGAAATTCAATATTGATATATTGCAACTTGTGGAGAAAAAGTTTCGTTCTTTCCCTCCCCAGTTGTCTCTAAATGCGTATGAAGTACATGTATCCAATTTCATAGCAACAGATTCAATGGGCATGCCTCTGCCTTATATATGTTATTCACAACTGAACTTCATACCATAAATGATCTGTGTAAGCTCTTCTTAAAAGTACCCTAGATCACATGCAATCAGCTTTACTTCTTGAGAGGGGTGCTACAATGCCAGACAAGACTGATCACCTAGACAGATGTGAACTTACCTTCTGAATATTCAAAAACTTCAGTATCAGTGATTAGTAGCTGTAAAAAACTTTAGCACTTACAATCTTCGAGTATAACGTATATTTTAAAATATTATAACATCTCTCTTTTCAGTACCTGTAAAAAACAAATGTCTTTTTGTGGTTTCCTTCCTTTTCTCCAAGCAGGGGTTCAAAAGACGAAGAAGTTGTAATACTCGCTCTTCTCTACGAGACTCTGTCAGGCAAGCATCGTTCATTACCAGATATGGGTAAATCTTTCCATTATGGCCTCGGATATAGAGTCTTCTAGCTGCTGTATTGTGCTTCTGAACTATCTCCACTCTGGGCATAAACCTATCGGGAAGAAAGGGATATTAAAGCACCTGAGCTAATCTCCTCTGATATTGTATCCTGATGTAAAAACCCCAAAACAAAACAACTACCAAAGAAATCAGGCAGTGCAACTTCATTACAAGGTACAATTCTATTATCCAGTTAGCCCATGGTTTCTATTTTGTAGTCAGAAAGCTCTTCTGTTTGATTTTGGTTTTCTGTTTTTAAGGAAACACAGTTCTTGTGCAAAGTTAACCATCAGATCACACATTTATCATTGTTTTGAAGAACAGTACTTCTGTTGACTACAACAGAAGAACAAATCTCAAGTTGTATCAACATAAAAGAAAACCAAATATACTCTTCACATAACAGTACAGTTGCTTAGTGAGGCAACGTAAAATCATCAAAGAAGGATAAAATATAAAGGTGTTATACCAAAATATGACTCTGTATACGTAATTTAAATATATGAATGTACACGACATCTACTTTTGCAGAGTGGATGGATGGAGGCGGTTTTGTTTTCTTCTCTGTTTACAGAATTACAACTACTAGAGTATTTTTAGGTTACCTTGCTATCTTGATGTAGTAATGTGTTGGCTTTGGCATAAGGAATTCTCCAGGTATCTCTACTTCTGCAGTTTGAGCTGAAAAATTACTTAGAAAGCGGCACTTTTCCTCTATGAGGAAGAACTTTGGAAGCTGTTTAGTTTTTGCCTCCAGAATTTTGATCCATTTCTTCAGTTTAGAGATAAGATTGTGAAGTTTCATTGACCCTGGCACACTGAAGTCAAAGTCTTAAAAAAAAAAGAATAAAAAAAAAAATACGCATCCTCAGCATTTTAAATTCTATATAGGGTATTTAAACATCAAATGTACAAAAGTTTGCATTTTCAGAGAGGTTCTTTCAGCCATACACCCTCAAGCAACATACTTTTAAGGAGTCCCACATACAGCACACATACATGTTATGTAGAAACGCATCACACTATTCTCAAATACTATAGTTAAATGGAGAGATACTATGATCAGCAACTCACACAAGGGATAGCGTACTACTAAGTCCAGCAGAGAAACATGGCTACCTGTGAACCCTCAACACAAAGTAGCAGGTTCAGACAAACACAGAAGAGACATAAGAATCATTAAGGAAGAGTCAGAGCATAACTGGTATAGGATCATACAACAGTAATAACACTATAACAGCAGATGCTGGAGAAGAACAAATCATACAATTCAACAGTGCAAACCAACCACACACATAGAGCTGTACTGCCTTTAGAAGACAGGCTCTGTCGAGCATTTCACCTCTACAGAAAATCTTGTAGTAAAGTCCTAAAATTTTATAACTTACACCTGTAAGAATCTGCTACGTGTTTTCTGTACACAGCTCTAAAATATTCTCTATTATTTAGTAAATAATGAACTTCTCCAGATTTTCCTGTTTTAGTCACGCAAACATTAGAAAAACGTACTGTGAAAACTGTAAATACCATTACTGTATTTAACTGTCTATATACTGCAACCAGACAGACTGTATAGAAAGAAAGCAGTAATAAACCAATCAATTAGATTAAATCAGATCATTTAGTGAAACAGGAAAGGAAGCTTATGTTACAGTCTAGCACTATAATTTTCTGCATGTTTCATTAAAAGTGATTTATTTATTTAAAATCATTGGATGCTGTTTACTTTTAAAAGGGATGAGACTCAGCTGAGAATACAATGTAGAATCTGTGAGCAACTGCAGGACAAGTACTAAAATCGCTATTACTAGTATTCACCTATTCTGAGCTGCAAGAAAACTCTCTTTATTCTCCCCTGGCTTAGATAACTGCATGCCACCACAGGAAGAACAGATATGATGGCCTAAGCAAAAATGACAATATTATGCAAACAGCCTGTTCTTTCTTTTGCAACATAACATTGCAGCGCTGACCTCTCTCCTCTAGCCCACATGCAAGTGAAGTAAGAACTTTCTTGAGGTCAGTACATGGTCTTCAATACACTATGCAAATAATTCTGCAACAGAAATCATTGCAATATCAACCATTTCCCGGGCCAACACCAAACCCATCTTCTCAATGCTGCTTTCACTACAGTTTCAGAACACAGCAAATAAATAAATAAGTTTATTCAAACTTCCCAAAAGACAGAAAATGAATAAACCACAAAAACAAATGAAATTACAGTTCAGCACCACCACCAAACACAATTGGATAAGAAAATAAACTATCTCTGTAAAGTTTATTAGTTATAGCATCTCAAATTGTGCAAATTAACTAACAGACTTGAATTTTTAAAAAGCATTTTATACCAGAGTCTAAAAGATGCTATTTTAAGTTCAACATGTTGCAAGTAGAAGCAAAAGCAAGAAAAAAACAATGTTGATTCAGTATTTCTGATATTTACAGCTAAAGCAGAGCAAACAATCTTCGCTACAGTTCAACACAACAGAAAATTAACAGTCTCAAAAATCACAGAACCACAGAATGCTTTGGGTTGGACGGGACCTTCAGAGGCCATCCAGCACAACCCCCCTGCAGTGAGCAGGGACATCTTTAACCAGACCAGGTTGCTCAGAGCCCCATCTAACCTGGCCTTGAATGTCTCCAGGGATGGGGCATCGACCACCTCTCTGTGCAACCTGTGCCAGTGTTTCACCACACTCATGGTAAAAATTTTCTTCCTTATATCCAGTCTAAATCTACCCTCCCTTAGTTTGAAGCCATTGCTCCTCGTCCTATCGCAACAGGCCCTGCTGAAAATATTTTCCCCATCTTTCCTATAGGCCCCTTCAGGTATTGAAAGGCCACAATAAGGTCTCCCTACAGCCTTCTCTTCTCCAGGCTGAACAGCCCCAACTCTCTCAGCCTTTCCTCATAGGTGCGGTACTCCAGCATCGGATCATCAGTGTTACATACACACAGTATCTTCCTAAATTAACAAAAAAAAAACCCCAAAAAACAAAACACAAAACAATCCTGAGTACTGAGTACGGTTCAGAGGGGAAATTAATTTGACCACATATATATGCTACAAGCATATTTGCAAGTATGCTAATAAGAAATTAAGTACATGCACACAGCAATTACTGCATATAAAAGTTTTTTTCAACCACAATTAAAACCACAAAAAACTCTGATTATACACAAGACTTACTTCTGCAAAGAAGCTTATAACATTTATGCTTTTACCCAGAAGAGTTCATATCATTCTATACATATACTCTTTTTTTTCCAAGGTCTCTTCTTTACTTGTACAGGATACTACTACCAAATAAAATTATGCAACCTAGGATTCCTTTCATTTTGCTATTCTGCTACTTAAACAAAACATCAGAGAAAACATAACCCAACGTATCTCATTGTGTATCCACAATATACTAATATGCTAAAAGCTTTCAGTTAAAGTCTGCTAGCTCAAAACACAGCAAAAAGAACAGCACATAAAAAATCCTTTCCAATTCTATAAGAAAAAAGTCTACAATGAAAAATACAGTTTCATATTTACGGATGTTAGAAATTAGTATAAGTCTGTAATGTTCCCTTTACTTTTTCTACCTGGTATGAGCAGGGCATCTATCGCAGCATCACTGTAAAACACTCTTATTATAATCCCAAGCCTACCCTCTAGTGAGCAGTGGGAGTAAATCATTTAATGGAAGTAACAAAATTATTGAATCATTTATCTCCTGAATCCCTGAAGTGCAAGAAAGTGTCCCCAAACTGCAACTAGTTTTTGTGTTAATGTGAATCACCAAAGTAGTAAAAATACGCATCAATATATATTCCTTACAAAAAAAAGTCATTCAGTTCACCACAAGAATAGGCATTTCAATAAACTAGAGCTATTTTAGGATTTTTTTGTTGTTTTATTTCGCAGCAGCAGATGGAAAAAACAGAGAGTTCAATTAGTCTTTTCGCTCATGTCACAGAGAGCCCATCTGAGAAGAAAAATCAATTCAGCTGGAAGAAAGCGAAATACAAAACCAGATATTATTTGTGTACAAAGTCTCTCTGCTTTGCAGACATCTTAATCTATATAAATAGTATTTCTGTTTCAAACAAATCCACTTTTTCCAGTACTTACTAGCAGAGAACATCTTCTCAAGCTAACGCATGCTGGTCTACAATACCTTACTGCTTATGCCATCTTTTCCTGAAGAGGACAGGAAGTTTACCTCCTCATCTTTAATGGAGATATTCACAGAAGACCATGATACTTTACACACTGCATTCCAGCTGAGGAAGCTTGCTCTCTGTTCTCAATGCTCCTAAAGATTTTACAGTGCAATATATGTATTTCAAATAAATATGTTCATTCAGACTCTTGAATGCCTCAGAAATTGCTACCTGAATCCATCCAGCCCAGCATAAATGGCAAGTTCTTGCCACTCTCAATGAAAGGACAATCAGGGGGCACAATCTTCCTGGCAGTGAGACAGACCTAAAAAATTCTGATGGTTCTTAACACACCTAGATAAAGCTCAATACTTTCTGAATGAGGGCTGTACCACCACTTCTCATGAAGCAACACAAAAAAAAGAATACACTTAAGTCAGCAAAATTAAGAGTGTAAAAGCCCTCTGTCCCCTCAAAACCCTTGACCTATAGAACATTAACATACTATTAAAAAAGAAATAAAAGAAAACACCTCCAAACAAAGACTTAACAACTAAAACAACCCCCTTCTGCTACACTGGCAGAAAACAGTTCTAATCAGTTAATGGTTTTAGCACAAGCAATAGCTCATTCGCAAGATTTTAAAGATTATTCTGACCATGGACAAAGCCGCTTAAGAAAGTTCATGACCTAAGGATCTTCAACTAAAGAGCCAGGACACCCATCGTGTAAGATGCCACTTAGGACTGAAATGGAAGCTTAGCTTTGCAGAGCAGTTCAAATCCTTTACACATATGATACTGAAGAAGATCCAAGCATTCTCCAGGAGAGCAGAGCTGTGTTGCTTTCGGAGTTACTATTCAGACATTAACATACTCTGCGTACTTTCCCAAAGGTTCTTTTTAATCGCATAACAACTTTTAGAGAGCACCAACAAACTTGAAAACTCTCAGTGACAGTTAAGCAGAAACATGAAGCAGGACTTCTGGTGTATCAGTCAGCTCCAGAAAACCAAGACTGCGAAGACCAGACCAATGTCAAATACATTGCTAAATCTAATCTCTTCATCTGGATTTTCTGGGTAACATCCTGTTATCTAAAAATTAGAAGGGAAGTAAAAAAAGAGCTGCCAAAGTGATGCTATGCTCACTCTTGAGAAATTAAAAAGAAACCACAAAAACAAAACGAAACACTCCACAACACCACCACCACCACCTTAAAAAAGCTGAAAATTAACAGAGATCCTTCCCCTGCCCTCTCCCCACAGTTCAGACACACAAGAGGATTTCAAGAAGCTTCCTTCTGATTACAGAGTTCCCATTTGCAGTAAATAATTCATTGTGCTGGGTGCCAAAACTCTCAAGAAAATTATCTTGTCCTTTAAGGGAGTATTTTGGAATTTTCCATTTGTATTCAGCTTGAGTGGAGAGATGGTTGCAGAAAGAAGCCGATCCAAACTCTGAACTATCATCTGCCCACAAAAGAACAATTGAGGCAGTTTTTCTCCTCCTTTCACTGCTGAGAGAGCTCTCCAAGGAAGCATTTCTCAGCATTTGCCTGTTCTTTGATGTCAAAGGTTTAGCAGCAAAGGATAGAAGGAACAAAGAACAGATGGTCAAAGAACTATGCATTTGAAGTTCCAGGGGAGAAAAAAAAAAAATCAAAGTAAAATTTGGTTTTAAAATATATAACGGTAGTATGGAAAAAGATGACCTACTAAAGCTCCAGCGGTCTAGACTACTGCAGAGACAGTATTTAGAATACAAGAAATGGTGTGAGAGTCCCCAGTGGCTCCAAATAGGAATCAAGACTCAACTCAGATGTTGATGGAAACGATTATGCAACCAAACATAGTTGAAAGTGTCTATAAAACACAGCTGCCAACATTAATCTGAAAATAACTGAAGAAAAGAGTTTACTCCAAGACAGCTCCTCAGTTTGGATACTTCTGAAACAGAAGGGATCCACTGTAATTATCTGTCCATCATCTAAATGCAACTGATACTGAGAGTCAGAAAAACAAACAAACACCAAGGTTCTAGCATGACAAAAGGACACAGCAGGCATTATTTACAAAGTTTATCACAATGTTGAAACAGCCTTCGCTATCTTCAGTACAGTAATTACAATCCTGTTCATTTATGTACATTTTACTGTTATTACAAAATTAATAAGAAACTTATTTTCATTTTCTGCATAATGAATAAAATTACAAAAATGCATGTGTATTGATCAGTTGAATTTCTTGTTTTCCCACACTTCATTTGTGAATTAAAACACTGAAATTATTAGATTAAAATAAAATCTAATCTAGCACTAAGCAAAATAATCATTTTAATCCTGTAGGCATTCATGTTTAATCATACTTGAAAAATAAAACACAAACTCTTCAACAAAAAAATACAGAAAGTAATTACTTATTAAACTGAACTTTACTAAGAAACATATTGCATTTAATGACTTTACATGATTTTTATGTCCAGGCCTATGTCATTGTTCTTTGTTTTATATGTTGTTCCACATAATTCTTTATAAATGCTGTGATTAGATAGCAAACCTGAAAACCTTAACTGCCACTTGTATATCAAAGGCATGCAAAAAATTTACAACAGCATGTAAAAATTGAAAACCCTCCATTTTTTTATAACTAAAAATTATAACCAATTTGTAATTGAACTTTCTTAATTATTTCTCTAAAAACGTTCTGAAATATTACTTTAGATTTTGCAGACTTGAGCCTGGTGTTGTAGCTTTCCTTTACACCAGCTGAAACCCCAGATCTCTCTAACATTCAAAAGAAAGAAACTATCACAGACAAAAATAACTCAAATTCAACAAAAACTGAGCACCAAAACTTACAGCAATAAAAAAGTGACTATTGCAATGCAAAGACATATAAATCATTATTAAAAATGAAAAACAAGTCCAAACTTGTATTAAATGTAGCATAGAGTATTTCAATTGGAAGAGACCTACAATGATCACCTACTGCAACAGCCTGACCAACTCAGGGCTGACCAAAAGTTTAAGCGTGTTATTAAGGGAATTGTCCTCATGCTTCAAATACTGACAGGCTTGGGGCATCGACCTCCTCTGTAGGAAGCCATTTCCAGTGTTTGACCACCATCTTGGTAAAGAAATGCTTCCTAATGTCCAGTCTAACCCTCCCCTGATGGAGCTTTGAACCATTCCCACGCATTATCACTGGATCCCATCCAAACTCCTCAGCTGTTCTCACAGAACATTCCTTCCAGCCCTTTCACCAGCTTTGTTGCCCTCCTCTGGAAGCATCCAAGGACCTTCACATCCTTCTCAAATTGCAGGGCCCAGACCTGCACACAGTGCTCCAGGTGAGGCCACACAAGTGCTGAGCACACGGGGACGATCCTCTCTCTTGCCCGGCTGGTCATGCTGGGTTGGATGCACCCTGGGGTGGGGTTTGCCCTCTGTGCTGCCAGGGCCCACTGCTGGCTCCTGTTGACCCTGCTGCCAACCAGCACCCCCAGGTCCCTTTTTGTGGGGCTGCTCTGCAGCCACTCCTCTCCCAGTTTATACTTGTGCCTGGTGTTACTCCATCCTAAGCACAGAAACTGGCATTTGGACTTGTTAAATTTCATCCCATTAATCATTGCCTAGTGATTCCCTGCCCCCTGTATGCTTCCACTAAATACACACAAAATGTTTCTCCTTCCATTTCTCTCCCTAGTACGCTTCATCCATTAAAAATTTAATCATATGGTTCAGGACTTTCATTATCTGCTGTCATGCAACTGTTGTGCCTCAAAATGGACATCACGCAATACATAGCATGCACAAGATTATGTAGGTCATATCTACAATAGTGTTACTTTCACAAGATTCCCATCAGTTCACTCATTTTCACAACGTTATCAGTAAAGTGCTTGAAAAAACACTGCTAGTCTACTTGTCAAACTCTAAGTGCTCAGTAGCTGTGTTGACCTCAAATAATTTTAAGTTAAGGCAACTTTATGTAACTCAGAATTCTAAGAAGAGTAACTTTTCAATGCAAGATTCACTTCTGCAGAGGAACCAGCTTGATGTGGAAAGGGGATGTTTTTTAGATCACTATAAAAGGTAAGATGATAGAATTTAACTCATGCCAGAATCATCTAAGTCAGAGTCCCAGTAGGGTAAAGAGAAAAGTAGATTCAGAAAATGATGAAAACCCAACCCAGGTCTTCACACAAATTCTATCTTTCCAGTTTTGAACAACTAATAAGTTTGAATTCTTCTGTTAAAAAAACCCAACACCTATATTCAACTATTCATTTTCACCTAATTCTACAGTTATCTTTAAGAAAAAGCTGACGTAGTTTAGATAGATGCAAAACTCAAAATCCTGGCAATCCAAAACACTGCTGCCAATCAATGTCTCCTTCTGTCCTATATATAGCTGCATGGCCTTAACACTTTTCACCAAATATACCAAAACAACGCTCTACTGTACACAAGTTTTCCTTAGAATTTTAAATCAACATCAGATATTCAAACATGTAACTCTCATAAGGAGAAAATGAATGAAGAAAAAAAGACACTTCCCTTAAGTATCTGTTTTATTAAATCTGATTAAAGTTATTGATTGAATTTACCCAACAATGATGTAAATTTGTGTAACAGGATTTTTATAATCTAGTTATCCAAAACACTAAAGTATTCATGCTCATCAGAACTAGGTCGTTTTAAAAGACTTCATGCAATATTGTCAGTTTGGAGTTCTGGGATGAAAATTTCATTAAATTCTGGCATTGTCATAAAATAGAGATCATTATTGTCCCTCATCTATACCAGACAATTCTACATAAATTGCAAAAATATTATAGTGCAGTAATCTAATTTATATTTAAACACATATGTGATTTGACCAGAGTTTTAGGTAATGAAAATACAACAATATACTCATTCTCTATGTTGGGATCTTTTTTTCACTGGAGTTATCTTTATTACTCCACAGAAGACTGGAACAAACTATTTCAGGTTTGGTGAATGACAGAAAGGTGCTGGGGTTTTTCTGTATTTTTTTCCTTTTTTTTTTTTCTTCGGTATTTTCTCTCAGGAAAAATATCAGAAGAAGAATAAAAAAGAAGAATGCCTTCACAGTTGAACTTTGGCGGGGGGGAGAGGGAGGCGGAATTTCTCTGGAGATTAAAAGTAACATTTAAAAAAACATTTTAAATATTTACCTGTTGTAAATTGCCCTTTTAACTTCTGGAACACAGGATCTTGAGCTGTTGCCTGTGCTCTCCTAGCTAGTGACTCTGAGGCTGCACTAGAAAACATGGTAGACACATTAGAGACATTCTCAAGACCTACTCCAAAAGTGCTGACCAACTTCTTGACAAAATTTAGTGTATGAGGAGTGATTTTGGCATCTGAAACGGCTCCGCTTTTCTCAAAGGCAACTGAATAGCACTTCGCCAAGCCCTGCTGCAGTTGTCTAAGAACCTAAGGATTAAAAAAAAAAAAGTCAGGAAGATTAGGCCTTCTGATTTGACACCAAGTATTTATTCCTGCATTGCATTTTTATAGTCAAGTTATCCTCTCAGAAACAGTTATTTGAAACTGTATTTTTAAATTGCATCAACAGGTCAATCAGAATGACGGCACCCATTCTTATTATCACTGCACTTGAACGAACTGAGCAGTGGAAATGCTGCATCACAAAGTACACCTTGCTCTTTCAACAGCAGCTAAGTTTTAGATTCATATTTTGTGATATATGAGAAAATGATGTGATCTGAGGAACCCTTCTTCAAATGAACAGTCCTAGGTAGACAGAACAGAATAGCCTGACATTTTGACAAGCAAATAATAGAAGTGGAGCGGCCTGTCCATCTGCTCTAGGTTATCATTCAAACTTCAGACAATAATCACCACCTGTCACAGATCACCAGATTAAGAAGGAAAGCTGTGAAACTTAGTGTAAGAATATAAAATTTCAGTTAGCACAAGCAACAGCTGAAATCCTAGAGGCATTCATCAAATTAGTAGTTTTGGGAAACCTCTGTATTACTTCCACAGATAACCAAGCTCCTTAAAATTCCAATCAGAACAATTAGTTCTACCAATACATCTGTTTACTAATCACAACAAATAGTTATGCTCTAACATTTAAAAATAATTCTAGAGAAATATTTTCCCATTAACTTTTCCTTAGATGATGCATACATATGAAGGTGTCTCAAAGCCAAATACCTCTTCATGCCAATTCTCTCTGAACCAGACCATCTGATCCACAATGCCTTCCAGGGAAGACAAAAGTGTTGGATGTAATTCTCTCTGCATATGCATAATTCTGCTGCATCGCCACATTGGTGCGGTGGCTCTGATGGGCCCAGGATCTGAGGCAGAGTGGGACTGATTTCCAACTGAACTTGGCTGTTGTTGCCCAGAATCTGGAAAGTGGAAAATTTAAAAAAATTAAAACTACCTTTCATAAACTTCATACATGCCCACATGAAATACAATAAATTGTTCCAAGAATTTGCTTTAGATTTGCATTAAGTATTAATCATGTATTACCTACTGAACTTCAGAAAATTTGAGAAAAATTTGGGTTTTAGAAATAAAATGTATTTTTTAGAAAGAAAACTCTGCTCTAAATGCTGTTCACAGCGAATATCTTATTCAAGAAAATATCTTGAAAAATAAATAAGATAAAATAATAAGATTTAAAAAATCTTATTCAAGAAAATTCAAGATAGGTCAAGCCATCTGTAGATTCAACTTCTCAGAAACGAATGCAAGCTAAGTTTATCAAGAATTATTTTCCTTAGTCTTGATATGTTTGTATGTTTTCTAGAGAATGTATTTTCCCGGTAAAATCGAGTGAAATTCAAAATAATAACTAAGTTACAAAGAGCCCAAACAATATGATCATTATCAAGCTCACCGCTTTTGTAGCGCTCTCGTTGTTCTATCTTCAAGGTCAAATAGAGGGTCCTAATAGGGAAGTAGACAGCTTGGGGATAGACTCTTCCAACCTATTTGGAGATACACATATACATATTTCTCAGTTAAGGAAAACTGACTACAGATCAGATCAATACATACAAATTCTCTTTGTAAGTGAGTGCAATTCAGTAATAATCAGCTCCTTGGTTAAAATAACAGCTTATGAAAAACTAAGAAATTAAAGATTCTTTGAGTAACAGAAACCCAAAGAGGATGAAGTGATAACTCCATACACACACTGTTAAGGCACTACCTAATTAGGGTTTCCAGATCATACTGCCTAATAAACCTGAAAACAGCACAATGCCAGTGTACCAGCTGGGCCAGCTCAAAGATCTTACTTGTGTACATAATGGAAGAAAAACAGACATGATGACAGCGGTTGGTGTTTAAATTAGGCCACAAGCCCCATGATACTCGATAAGAAGGCCCATTAGAGAGTAACTTAACTCCACCAAATTGTGGCACTTAATATAAGGGGATACCAACTTCACTCAAAAAGAAAAAAAAAAATTATGGCTTCCATTTAAAAAAAAAAAAGCTAAAGAAATATTAACATTAAGCGTCTCGTTGAGAATCTGTAAATCTCGGTATCAATTAAAGGAAAGAAACAATGTGTCTAAGTACTACCCACCACAGAGCACATGTTAAGGCATGATTCTTTCTCCATCCAAATGGGTATGGTAAGTGGTAGAAATTTTGCAATGGCATTTAACTGTTCAGTAATATGATATTCATGGCAGATTACTAACCTGACACACATATGCTTCATGCTGTAATTCAGGAGTAAATTATTTGAAAAGAATTGTAAGGTTTAGGTTCTAGCACTTTGCAACAGGCTGCACAGGGAAGCGGTGGAGTCACCATCCCTGGAGGTGTTCAAAACACATGTAGATGTGGCACTTTAGGACACGGTTTAGTAGGCATGGTGCTGTTGGGGTGACAGTTGGACTTTATGATCTTAAGAGGCCTTTTCCAACCTATGATTCTATGATGCTGCAAACAGAGTTTTAAATCTGGTATTTTTTTGTTTTATATTCCTGCTACAGACCTAAAGTTTAAAGGAAAGATAAATGAAAAGTATGTGTGGTATTTATGAGCCTAATTTCCAGCTACAGTAGGACTTCTGAGTAGGCATTCACTTCTAAAAATTTTATACAGATCTCAACAAATAAAAAGTGTCTACAAGTCATTGATATAGATTTTTCTGTCTGCTGTCAGAAGACAGCTAAGCACACTGGTGTTGCAAGACAATAGCAAGCCATATGCATCAGAAATGTTGCCTTAGCTACTTTGCTTTCTTAAGGTGTTTGGGTGCATGGTCTCTTCAAAGTTGCATTTTAATTTTATGGAGAGAGGCAAGGAAACATACGTATACACATGCACACACATACTAACCTAGCCTTATGCACACAAGTATCGATGCACATGCAAACACACATGGACATATTCTCTCTCTACAAAAACACACATTCTCAGAGCTTTGAAACAGCAACAATAAGGAACAGCTTAAAAGGAGCTGGATATCACAGAGTGTCTTGAGTTTGAAGGGACCCATACGGATTATCAATTCCATATCTCAAAAATCAAAAGTGAAGGGAAGGAAGGCAACTACTGTGTGGAATTCAGCACAACAGCTGTCTTTTGCCAGTTTTCAGCAACAGTGGAGTGCTGCAGACAGAAGTGGCCTGGGGTACCGGCTAATGGGAGAGCTTCATACGTTCACCTGTATGTTAACAGGACTTCACAATTGTTTTACATTAACCTGAACAAACAAACATCAAAATGCTTCCAGGCTGTACACATGCTAAAACAGAGCTGAAGCTAGTCCATGAACAGCTAACATCTCTGAAAACATGACGTTTGAACCCTGTTCGCGCTACGCAGTAACAAAACAGTATCTAAAAAACACACTGACAGAAAGATGTCACTTCTCCTTTAGTCTACAGACATGCTTAAAGCAACTCTGTACTGAGATACAGGTCTACATTCTGTTCTTAAGATTCTGCTTCAGAGCAGACAGCAGTAGGCAGCAGACTCTTAAAATCCCCAAGCAAGATTAATCAACACTCCTATCTGTCAGTTCAGAGGTACACATCCAGGAAGGCAGTTTCTTCATCTAACTCCCTAAACCTCATCCTTATTTGCCTCAACATTTGTCATGCTAAACTTCAGGCGAAAATCTACAAAGCCCCAGTAAAGATTTCTGATTGTGCCAGGCAGTCTTGTTTTTTAAAATCAAGGCTAATAAAAACCAAACCATTAATTAAATAGTTTGCCCTTCGGTCACTAGAGCTAACAATTCTTCATCCCTACTGTTGCATTACAAGCATTTTACTATATATTTCTAAGTGTGTTCTATAATGTTAATAAAAATGTAATAAATAGAATTCCAGAGGGGAAGCTATAGTGCCTCATGCACATATGGCATACAGCTCCACTGGGTTTAATTTCCTTAAATAACACTCACTTTGAAATACAAAATATTCTACCTATAGAGAGAAATTATCATTTTTTAACTCATCAACAGTTGCAAACAATCATATTTTAAAGCTTGGCATTTTCTTAATTTGCTTTGAAAAATACTTGTATCTCATCTTGAAAACAAAGATTAGAGACAATAGAGAATTAGTGATTATCTTCTGTACCTGACTAATGAGGTTCAGAAGGAGTTTGCCCTCTGAGCCAACCAGGCACGTCAACAGCTGTGGAATCCAGGCCAACCACTGAATGGGTGGGACACCGATACAGTACTTGTCTACTGCATCTGCTAAGGTGTTCTTATCATCATCAAAACTCAGTAGCCAAAGCACCTAAAAGAGAATTTCAAGAGGACACCTCAGGGCTTAAATTCAAGACACATCAATCATACGATGTAGAAAAAAACCCACACATGTTTTATTAATATGATAGTGAAGTCCTAAATGTCAAAGTCTCCTTGGACACAAGAACTTACATTAATTATACCTGGCCAATGTCATTTTTTCCCCTAGAAACAGTATTTAAAGGATGTAAAAAAAAAAAATAAATGGAAGTGTACTACCTGCTATGAAACAAGACAGAAAAAAGCCAATGAACATGACAGCATTCCACAAATTCTTCGGGTGTTTGGTTGGGGGAGTGGGTGGAAAATAAGGCATGTTTATAGAACTTAAAATGTGTGATACAGATAAATTAACTTTGAAGTGAGAGCTTGAGTATTTCTTTGGGTGTTTTTAATTATTTTACCTGTCCACCCCTAATGATACTTTTTCTACAACATAATTTAAATGCAAATATATTAAGTACTGACTAAAAAAATCACTAACAGTTACGAAATCAGACAGGGAGAATAACACAATTCAGAGTGCTATGGAGGACACCTTTAATCTGGAAAAAAAATTTTCTGTGTTTGTTTCATGCTCAAAATAGATTGTCTTCCACAGTCTGCTATCATTTTTTAAATTTTCCTCACAAGAGATTAAAGTTAATACCTCCAAACTGAGAAATATGTAACACAAAGAACTTTGGCTGAAATCACTGAATTAGAGTAAAAATTTACACAAAACGCCTATTTGGAAGAAAATGCAGTTCCGAAGTAAGCGTTATTATGAATTATCCATACTAATGACAAACAGACAGGAAATTACATTACTCTTTAGACTACAAAAGGATGCCTTTCTGCAGATATTTCACTGCATTATATATTAGAAATGCAGAATGTGATTTGTCCCCTTTCTCCCACAAAAAGGTTAAAAAAAAAAAAAAACAAAACAAAAAAAATACACTAAAACTCACACAACAGGTACATCAATGAAGTAGAAAAACCCACGAGGAATTACATGCAATGACCAAACAGAAACCATATGCAGACTTTCAGTCTAAAGCTTTCCACCAGTAACTGGCAGTTCTCTAATTACACAAATTTGGGCACTGAACATTATCCCAGCCTTTTCTGAAGGGGTGGAGTTACAATTATTTTTTAAACATCTAGATCTTACCTTTGCTAAGTATTTTCTTGATTTGCTCTCATTCTGATGACGACATGCATGCAGGTAGCAAGTAATAGCAGACACACCCAGGTGAAGCTGACGTTCTTTCACGAAGATATTCTCCAGATAATCACCCCACATTGCCCATGCTTTCACTAGCACATCATGCATTTGCACAGCTGCAGAAAAAGCTTTGTTTGCTTCTTCAGACCTGCATTGGGACACGTAAGAATGTTAGTTTTATACTAACAAAAAGTTACAAAATTATCTAAGAGTCAGATTTCTGATAGGGTACTCAATTACTTTCTTAATAGCGAATGATCATTTTCCTTTTAGTTCTTTAGTAAGGTCTTGTGACTGTGTTGTCTTTGCTTTCCTTAAAGTTCAGCACCTGTGAAAACGAACATTTCATAACGGAAACAATTATGTAAGTTTCAAAGACCTCCAGATATTCCCTGAAAAAAAACAACTTCCAGCGCACTGCAGCTGCAACCCAAGCAATAGAGTATGACACTGGGAGAAAGAAGAACAAATGTTACGACAAGAAGAGCAACAGCCAATACATTAAAAAGTGCTTCTCTGCTGAGCAAAAAAAAAAAAGCAACATGGGGAAGATGTTGTGTGAGTTATCTTTTGGAGGACTGCATCTTACTTCGCTGTTCTCCCATCAAAGTCACGAAAAAATTTACAATCAATGTTATCTGGAAAAAGTCAGTTCCTCATCCCCCCAGCTTTAGAAGTTTATTTTTTCAACAGGAAAAGTGAAGGAACATGAAGGTTAATCACATAGTTCTTGGTAACCAAAAGATTATTTGTTGGTAATTCTGCAGTCTTTTCTAGGTTTCCTCAAGTGTTCCTAGTTCAAGTTTTGGCATGATTCATCCTAATATATATAAAGCCCTTGAAACTGTGCAACTTTTCAGGCATAAAAATAAATTATCAGAAAACTCACATATACAACACTGAAATGAAGAAGCTTTTTAGGCTTTCCAAGATTCCTTATTAACTGAAAGTGCTTCACTTCTCCCTTACAGAATAAGCGTTGAAATAAACCACACAAAAGTAACGTAATGCCTGAGCTGTAAAATATTTTTTATATATAAATATTAGCATGGAGGATTAGAGTGATAAACTAAAATGACTAGTTATTGAAGCAAAACTATAAAATGAAAAGCAACTTTGCTTGTCAAAGTATATGTTAGTTGCTATGTTACTTGCTTTCAGAGGCTTTCTGCACCCTAGATTGAGGTTTTGAAGCCAACTACCACCACTGCAGCCTGACACATGACCTTGTATCACTACTTCCCCCTTTATAGAAAAGGGGACTTTTGAGTCGGTTTTCTTTTCTCCTTCTCCCTTCTCTACAATCCATCATTCTTGACACCTGAGATAACTTTTTAAAAATGGTTTCTATCACCTTGCTCAGCAAATGGGCAGCACAGGCAGATGCAAGAGCAGAGGTGACCTCTAGCTTCCAGTTTAGTTGACACACAGGTAATCAGCAGTCACACATTCTCAGGTTCAGCACTGCCGTTGGTCCCAACTATACCGAAACTCCTGGCCTCAGCTGCGGTGCTAAAAAATGCCTGTATATTTTTTGGTAAGATTAATAAACTTTAAGTACATCAGAACCATGTTTTAAACAGAAACCTTTCTCCATTCTGTCCTGGAAGAATGAATACAGACAGTTTAACTGCCTTTTACTTTATCTTCAGAGATGGGGGGGTACACTTTCTTCTCTTTACAACTCAACTGAAACTAAGCTCACCTATGGCCACAAAAAAGCCCATTGCATTTTCCAACAAAGTAATAACATTCTGCCTATTTAAAATTCTCTCTTGTATCCACAGAAGAAGATATTCATCACTACCTGACTTCAATTGTTATGTGAGGCTGCAGCATACAGCTTAAAACCTGATGGATTTCATTCCATAAGTGTCCACAATATAGTGCTAAAGGAATTATTCCACCCATATGCAACATGTAGCAATACTGCCATCAAATACCATGCATACTAAATGCTGTTGAAATCTGAAGGGTTTTTTTGGCATCATCGAACAAAATTTGACTGCTGAGATCTTTGTTTACTGAATTAAAGAGAGATCTTCCTCAAAACAGTAAGATGCCTGTCAGCATAAAGTGAAAATACTACGAAAATAGCTGTGTGAAAGCAAGACTTGCACCTAGGTGTTTAATTGCCACAATGCAAGATTTCTCCAACATACACCACATTAGTCTTCTCAATTCAATTATCTTAAGTGTTGCATTTCCATATTGCGTGGCACACCAGATTTGTCTAAGCACTCTGAACTATGCCACCACACATTTTCCTATGTCTCAATCAGCTGCAGCAATTAATGGAACATATATCACGAAATGTGAAAAAGAACTAGGCTAATTTTGTTTAAGTAGCTGTAAGCCTATAGACTTAATTTGCATTTTTCCTTGATTTTACATGTGATATTTACATTAAAAACATAATTAAAGTAGCCTCCTTTTGTCATCTACACTAAGACATCAGTTAGATATCAGTTTGTCACAGAACTGGGGCAGGGTGGGAATGTATCTTAAGCTGGTTTTGGACGAACCCATTGCCCCTGCCTCTTGTCACCTCACCCCTGGAAATACAAAACTTTTAAAAAAAGAACTGGTACAATGTTTGCTTTAACCATTTCTTTCCTACAATACTTAGAAATATGACCAACCATTACATCTTCAAACTCCAAAGGAGCTCTCGCGTATACTTTTACTTTCTTATACTGTTGTGACTAATTTTAGGCTGCTATAAACATATGGAACAACTTTCCTGCTCAAATACAGTGTCAAAATCATTCAGCTGCATTTTTCTCAGATGTGTGCTAGTGCCTCTTCCAACCAACATACTTACTTGTTAATTTGTGCCAAGAACATTCCCTTCAATGCATAAAACTCAGCGGTCATCTCCTTGGTGAAGTACTTCAGATTGGTTGATTCAATAACTTCAAGACCCTGTTAAACAAGCCTTAGTGTGAAAAGCCTTCTAAAATGAACGTTTTAATAAAATGAAAAGTGCCATAAAAAACCCAGCTAAAACATTCTCTTGAAATTTAAGTATCATGAGTTTCTAGTATTTAATTTTCATTTTAAGGAGTCTGGACTGACAACAATTTTAAGTTTCCACTGGCCTACGCAAAACTATTAGATACTATAGACAACATTCATCAGGGGATAGGTTATCTTTTTCACCTTGTTTTTTTAATTTTATATTATGTTATATTACATTATTATTATAAGGTCCCAGTTGGCTGACTTTATAATCATATGTCACTGGGTTTTGCTTACAATCATACTTTCTCCTTTCCTTTTAACACATACAGTTTCACTGCAGTTTGCCAGCATTCATCAGTCATGAGTCAGACACTCAAAACTGACTTAGAGCTTCAGTTAGTCTTGCAATATTGTTTCTTCCTATTGCAAGTAATATAATTTTCAAAGTCGCTTCCATTTATCTATCTTGTAAGATTTAATAAATACGTATTTCCACTTTTCTTTTTATTCGGCTAATTTTTAATGTATTCACAGTATTCAGTTCAAAGATGACAATCATTGCTTTTAACTAACACCATTACTTACAACAACACTCTATGCATGGTATAACATGGCCAACAGAATTCAGACCCTGTTCTGTATACAGGCAGTTTGTTTAAATCAATGTGTCTGACGGCCCTTGTAATCCTCCACGTTCCAACATCAACTTCAGAGATAAAGACAGCATACCTGCATACATTCATTTTTGCCCATGACTCCAGCCAGCTGAAGATAACATTTAACTTGCTGGCGAATCTTCTGAAAGCAGTCCACAATGGGCACAGTTGGAATTGTATGAATGCGACTCAGTATATCCAGAGCTACGTTGACCAGGCCTTGTTTTCGGGCTATCTTTCCATATTGGATAATTGCTGACGCAGAAGCGTGAACTCCCAACATCGCGTTATTTGAACTAGGATCGTGCTGAGAACTATTTTCATATGCAGTTACAATGGCTAGAAACAAAACAAAGTATTTGTCATTATAAATGAAACTATATACATACCAATACATATGAAATGATGACTTAAGATACTAAAACACTTAAATGGAAATTGAATAAAAACCAACATTGTTGAAATCAACAACTTTCTTATACGTTTAAATAAAAAAAATAATAATAAAAAAAAACAAAAACAAGAACTTATTTCAAACAACGTGTTGTCTGGAAAATTACATGATGAATGCATGCTGGACCAGGCAGTTTTACCCTGGTAATGATGTTGTCTCCACATGAAAATGCTGCTCCAGTGGGATAAATCATCTGACACAATAGGTAACCTGTTCCTCCAAGTCTTTACAACGGTCTTCATATCATGCAAGCTGTTGTTCCTCCCCAGATTAGTTGGCTGCAACCCTGCATTGATTTGGGCTGCTTCTTGAAGTTCAATTATTTGCTGTGCTGCCTAGAAAACATTAACCAATATAAATTATCACAAAGGGTAGTACAGTAAGCTGGCCAATTTCACTGTTACAAAGAGATCTCTATGAATGATGCCACCTTCAAGTGTTCAAGTAAAGATGAAACTATTCATGCTGTTTTAGGGACCTGTCTATTAGTTGCATAAAAAAAAACTTTAACCAACCTAATCATTAACAAAATAGCAAAGAAATCCTCAAGATTGATTCAACACTTCAGCCATTGACTGAAGTGTTGAATTCTTCCACTGAATCACCAGCACAGAATTTATACCAACGGGTTGCTACTCTTAAACAAATGATTTAAAAAAATAAAGGTGCCATAAAGTACTTTCTTACATGCTTGCAAAAGGTCCTGGCATCCTCTTCCCAAGGGATGGAGTGCAATTATCAAGCAGGTTATTTCATGCACACCTCATTCTAACAAAACCTACATGCCCTAACATTATTGGGTTGCAAACAGACATTACTGATCTATACTTAATGTGTTCTTCCTATAATACCATGGGTTTAGCTAAGTTTAACTTTGGTCAACTATGACATGTCTTTCCTTGATAGTATTAAGATAAAAATTCCCTCATCCTTTCTCTTATTTTGAACTGCAATGCTTTCACAAATTATCCCTCAAATGTCAGTGTCTTGCTTTTAGTAGACATTTTTTCTTAAAAAAACAAAAAACAAACAAAAACACAAAAACACCACACACAAAACAAAACAAAAAAAAAAACCAACAAAAAAAAACCAACAAAAAAACCAAAAACTTCAAACACACACAACACAGAAACACAAGATAGTTTACTGGAACCTACACTCTGTCTTCAGCCCAATCCTTTTCCCCACACACATCTAAACAAAACCTCAGGTTAGAATTCAATTCTAGCATACAGATTTGGTCTTACTACCTCAACCCTAATCACAGAAAAGCACAAGCATATATATGTATATACAGTGTGTAAAATACGAGCATGAAGTAAAAATACTGACCTTTAACCAAACTTTGAACATAACTTTTAGTAATTAAACCCCAAAACTTTTAACAGAACCTAATAGTATAAATTCCCTGGTCATGATCTGACTTCCTAATAGACAATGTACAGAAATAGACAATAGACAATGTACAGAAACACTACCTATATGCTCCTGAAGGTGCTACCTTAATATATTCTGCAAAGACCTTAGCTTTGAGAAATTACTTAAGGAATGGTTTTTCACTGACATCTACTATCCTCAAATTAATGAGAGGAACAAACAGAAGATGGTAGTAGTCTCAAACCAGCAGATGTTTTGTTAAAACTTAAACAACCTGAAGAAAAGGCCCACAAACTTTAACGGAATTTAATTAACTGCAGTACAATAAAACCAATGTAGTATTCTTTAAGCTACCTCTTGGCAGATAACAGTTGCATTCATTGTTAATCAACCAAGTAAGATAACTATTGATAAAAAAAAAAAGCAGTTCAAATTTGCAGAGTGAAATCTCTTGAAACAAAATAAATTAAACAAAGTAGTATTTTCCTACAATCAACTCAGTATCAGTTCTCACTACAGCTTAACCTTCATCCTACACCCATTCATCACGTAAATTTAATTTTCTCACAGGTATTTAATCACATACTATCTGATATTAAAAAAAGTAATTACTGCAGTGCAAATTCATGGCTGCATTTGTACCTCTGTCAGTCATTGACTAATTTATCATTTCTTCATGAGGGATATATACATATTACATTATTTTAAAAGCTTGCTTTAATTGATATCTGAAAGCATTGAAATACTTTATTTAGCAATGCTAATCCTTTCATGCTGCAGATACTGACAGTCTTAGGGGAGGAAAATCTTGAAATATCTGTGAAAACTTAGCAGGAAGGATTTAATTTCATCAAGAACCCTTCTAGGGGTATTGTATCAGCTCAAACAAATGAAACATTGTACCTATTTACTTGACAACTTACTTTCTTTTTTCAATTTCAAGGTATGGGCTGCGGTGTAAGCTCTACCCACAAGTACAGTCATTTTAGTAGAGGCATCTTAGACCATGCAGATTTAGTTACTTGTGAATCACACCAGGCATGACACACAGTGTGAAACTACTGATCTTCAACAGTTACAGAAGCCACTACTATCAAACAGCACTCAGACAGCAAGGCTATCTGCATTTCCACAGGTAAGGTTTGCTCATAGTTCTCTGAGCAATGGTCCACCAAGAAATGCATCCCCGTTGTGCCATTTCAGATTGTGTTGCACCAAGATAGACTCCAGAATTTCTCCCCTGAAGATGAAAGGTTCCCTCAACCGTAACAAGAGCTAATCTTCATCCAGGTGCACGTTTATCAGGATATCTAAACAGGGACACAGTCAGCCTAATGACAAGTGAATAGTGTTTTGCCCAGATCACAAACTGCATGACAAACCGCACACAATCCTGCCACAGACCCACTTCCACGCTCCGGCTGCAGCTGTACAATACCAATCGGAGGACACAAGGTTCATTTTCAATTTCAAGAAGCTTCTGGCAGCATCTCAAGGCCAAATCCCCTTTTTTAAAGATGAGTTTAGGCACCTACTTCCATTTGATTATTCTTGGCAGTAATATTTACTCTCAAAAATTCTTCTCTTACAGTTGCAAAATGAATTATTTACATAATTAAATAAAAAAAACCCAAAAGGATAAGTATTGACATTTCATACATTTCAAAAGGAAACAGAAGTCCATTTTTGCTATGGTGAAATATGTGTAAAAGTTACAAAGGACACAAGCCATGCATTTTTCACCATGTAATACATGCTATTTCATCTCGCGTAATAATCAAACTACACATTCTATACTATCAGAGTTGTATCAGCTGCTTCACAAAAATATTTCTGGAGGTCTGAAAAAAAAAAAAAGTGTCAAGGTCTTACAAGCTTTTCCTGACAGTACAAGAAACACGTACCTTTCCCTAATTTTCTAAGTGGGCCACTTGCGAGGAACATGTATGCTAAAGAGAAAGACTAAAAAAACAATAGTTAAACACAACTCGTCTTGAAATTGAATTGTTAATGTTGCATGAACAAAAGAAAAGATTTTTCACAAGTGAAAATAAAGATGTACCTGCTGCACAGCATCTTAAAACCAGTTTACATTTAAATAATGCTGGAACACAGTACATGCTTTGCCTTGTAATATTTAATGATTTGAGGGGTAAAATACGGCGTACTTGTATAAGCACTAAGAACCTTGTTTAGCGAGGATGTAAGTGAAGTGATCTTTCACTTTCCTTCTTCCAAGCATACTCCTTTATAGAAACAGAACACAGCATGCCCTCTTTTGAGAGCGAAATGCTTTTATGATTCAGAAGCAGCCAATGAGCTCTACCTTCTAGAAATGGATGACAGAGTTAAGAAAAAAGTAGATAACTAGAAAAACAGCACAAAAAATGTTAGCTTTGCCCATCCTCTGTGTACACACTGGGTTATCCAACTCTAAAGTTACTCATCCTTTATAAGTCAAGGATCCAAGCATGCATGCAAGAGTTTATTTGAACATCAGCACTGTTAAAAATCATGTACAATATACTGCAGTAATTTTACAGAACAGTATGAAATTCAATTTACAAACTTCTTCCCCTGTTTTAAATGATCTTGACAAAGCATTAAGCTACATAAGATTAGATAATACTCAACTTTTGGCAGGGGAGTTTTATTTCGTTTGGGGGGAGGTGTTAAGGGCTTTGTTTGTTTGTTTTTAAAGTTCTTGTAACCCCAAATTCACCTGCTGTCCCTCATTTCATTCTGGACAGGACAGCTCACTGCTTCATTGCCAGAATTCTGCCCCTACTTCAGGAGCAAGCTTCTCACAAAACTTTATGCTTGCTTTGTCCATTTCTGTCCAGAAAGCATACAGATGTCTTTCAGATCACAAACTAGTAAGGTGATCTAGAAGGGCTCCTTCCACTTCTGATTCAAGCAGTCCATTCTTTCTCAGATCAGAAAAAGGACCCTGACAGAGGTTACCACTGACTCCAGTCTTCCAGCTGACCTACTTACATCAGTGCTCCACAACAGACTGGAATTAAAATGAACTAATTAGTTGGAAGCAGTAACCTTTCCAATCAGCACAGCTAAATCCGGATGATGTGCAAGGAGCATTACTGAAATATGCCCTCCCACTCAGATCAAAGAAACTTTCTCTCCTGTAGTTCTGTGGAGCAACATGATTTAGCATGGGAATTCTTTCTACAACAATACTACAAGATTTTAATGCAATGTTGAACAGAACCTGCCAAATCAGCTAGCCAGACAGCTAACAAAGCTGAACATCAGTACAGAAAGCTTTGAGGAACACAGGTTAGTTCATCTAATAAATTCCACCCTCCTTTTCAGCAGAACTTGTATATAATTAACTCCCTGTCCAAGGAGAAATATCATATACCTACAGACTAGATTCCTTCCTACTTCCTTTCCCTGATGCAAATCAGAACTTTTAGCAATATAATGCAGAAACTACAAGAGAAAGTGAGGCTCACATTGGCCAGAACCTATAGTACTTTTCTGAAAGGTAGCAGTGGTCACCTGAAAAGTCCTTCACTAACAACAGACTTTTACAGTTTTCAGTTCTTTGACCTTAATGCTCAAGACACAGGGATGTTCAGAACTTGCTCAGCCTGTTCAGAACGCTGCTCCTCAAAGAAAACCAGCACTTCTAAATACACTTTTCCCTTACAGGGCATTAACAGTTACTCAAGATTTGGAGGGGAAAAAAAAAAATTAAACCAAAAAATACAGGAGTATATTACAGTTGACAAAATTCCATAAAGCATTTAACCGAACACTTAGAAGGTTATTTCAACATTTCTGCAAATATCATAATGCAGTAACATACTTGCCCAAAATGGACGTCACTTCAACACCTCCAAGCACTGCAGTGCATGGTGCATTAGCCCACAAAGAAAGTTAAGCCATCTGATCAGTTTTTAAATAGCTACTTCTGTACGCCACAAACAGAATGGCTTCGGGTAAACTATAAGAAGTTTAAAAGCAATTCAAATCGAAATGCACATTCGGCAACTTCTAACCAAAAAATATCATTACGAAAAAAAAACCAGTACTATGCAGTAAGATATTTTATGCTCACAGTTACTTAAAGTCCCAAAACCTGCTACTGGAAAATAAGTGGCAATAAAAAACTTTTCAGTCTTACCTGGAGAAGGGGAGTATGAACATGCGAGACCACGTGAGGAAGCCTTCGCCATTCTCGAATAGCTAAACTACTCGCCATCTCTACCAGACGCTCAATGAAGTTAAGCTGTTGCTCTTCCGGGTGGCAGATTGCTAAGTATCCTCTGTACATATTCACTTTCCATGCCATCTCCTTTGGACAACTCAACTCCACCTCGTAATGAAATAGAAAAAAGTCTAGTAGAGACTATTCATACTCAAATGCAGACTTTGTAAAATTATTTTTTAAAAGCCTTCTCAAACAAACACTCTGTTTTATTTTTAATAAAAATTAGCTCAATTTCTAAAAATATCAACTGAAATATCAAAATTTCTGTCATTAGAGCAGCTTCAGCTCCTCTAGGAGCAGGTCCTAGCTCCTCTAGGGCCTGGCAAGGGCAGGCTAGCAAATAAATTGCAAATTCAGCACAAGAGTGGAAGTGCCTGCATACAACCTGCTGCTAGGGTATTTTTACACTGACAGCTGTGGTGTAGCTCAGAGACAGCTGAGCCAGCTGAAAGCAGTCTTGCAACAGGAGCATGAAGCTTACTGCAAACGAATTCACCCTGTATAAAGAAAAAAGATGCTTCTCAGCAGATAATGAATACTACCTCCGAAATGCTTCAGAGGCTCCAGAAGTAATGTCAGCTGCTCACTTAAAAGGATCCCATTCCTATATGTCAGCACATTATGCCAGCGTTATATTTCCTAACCACCTGGGTTAACCTAACTCTAGGACATTACTAAGTTTATGAGAATAAACAGTTAAGAATTTTCTAAGATATCTACATCTAACCTTCCCATTTATGTCAAAGTAATTTCTTAGTACAGGTGCAAAGTCAGGTCATAAAACTGAAATAATTCTAAAAATAATTTTAAACCATTTTCTTAAAATCCTGGAACAGCAGAAATACGGCAACTGAAAACAGCAAAGTACCTGAATTATCTAGCAACTAAATTCTGTATTTTACACTAAACTTGCATTTCACCAATGCTTACTAGCTGCAGGCCTTAAATCTAGAACTTTTTCCCGTCTCTTTCTTCCGCTTTACATCAAACGGTTTATGGACTGATATGCAACACAGAAATCTCTCTGCATTGTCTTGTTGTTGATATACTGTATCCTAACCATTACAATTGTTATTTCTGTTATCCTCAACTGACTTTTACGCCTGAGCCAGCAAAGAGAAACTACCAGGTAGCAGCCTTACCCTTGCACCGTGAAAATAATCTCTTTCTTTATTACATTATCTACTGGATCATTAAACACAATGGCAATGTGAGCAAATGGAAATGAGTCTTGGGTCCTATCAAAGGCCACTTGGTATTTTAATACCTCAACTTTAATAGGCAGATTATTAAAAATGTTTCACGAAGATTTACGAAAACTGATACGTATTTGCCGTCTTTTCTGACCTCTCTTGTGAATCAACCAGGGAACTCGATAAAAAACAGCCACGTTAAAAGAATATAAATAAAATTGGAGTAGCTAGTATGGTAGCACAGAATCAATTATTCTTTCATATCCTAATATTTATGCAAACACTTCCTGACACTTTTACAAGAATTTGAGTAAAGCCACAAACGCTCCATGGCTTCAGCAGCATCTTCTCCTTAGTCATTTAGTAAATGTCTCATTACTGAAAATATCTCATTTAATATAACTGCAGCTAAAGCACATCAGCAGTTACTCATGATTGTCACTTCTACTCAACTTGCAAATCTCCAAAACCAGAACCTGTCAGACACAATATATTCCATTCTGTTCCAAATCCAGGTTTATAGTATACTGTACAATACAGTTCTTATTCTATACTTTAAAGGTTCCTCAAATAATATTATTTCTATAATTAGCCACTGAAGTTGCATACTTTAGTAGGACACAAAATACCAATTTGTTGCAAGAACAAAAGAAGTTAATGAAAATGTAAATATAACCTATAATTTTTGTAGCATATGCTCCTTGCTATTTACAGATTTGGCTTCACATGGGCTGATAAATGATAGAATCCATCTCTAGAGACACTTTGAACCATTAGTACTACAAATATTGAAAAATTCCATTTCTAATGTTGCAATGGTTGGACATCTTTAATTTAGGTTCCATCAAAAGACAACACTACCTTTAATTAATTAAACAACTTTTACCGTTTCCATATTTTAGCCTTTAAAGCAAAACACACTGATCATATGCACCTATTTTCCCTTCTTACAAAAAAAAAAGTATTCCAGAAGAATAATCATACTATGTTTAAAAAAAAAAAATGTAACAGTCTGATTTTGGAAGAAAGTAAGAAAGACACACAATTTCACATATTCATCATGTGAGACTAAGTTATCACAATGAAGCATACTGTTAGGGTATTCTGTATACAAGAATTTAATCCTGTAAGATACTGGAATTAAAGGATACTCAGCATTTTTCATAATCATGTTTTATCTCCTGCGAATATGATAAAACTAGACAGTAAACTGTCAATTTGACACGTAATACTTTTAACTGGTAGGTATTGGTTCAAAACCCAAACAGTACTGATGAAACAATAAACCCCAATTAAGGGAGGGACTAATTCTTCTGGCTCTCTCTCTGCAATATGAAAAACACTGCCTAAGGCTCTGCTCAGAGCTTTGTCAGTAAAATTATATTTTAAATACACAGTTCACCCCCATATTCCAAACTCTGGCATCTTTAGCAGAGTAATTCCATAATGTTACATTTTATAGCAACGATGCAATGAAGATCAGCAAGCTCCTTTCCACTTGCGATTTAATGCAGTATTCTCACCTTTCAGATTTCAGTTCTACATCTGGTTTATGTTTCTACATTAACTAATCACATATGAACAACTCTCCCTACCATGAAAAGCGTGTATCAAAATATCAACCTTCTCTAGAACAGTGACACCACATATAAAGTTAAAAAAAAAAAAGATCCCAGAAAAATCTACTGGTGACTCCATTACAGGAGTCTGTCATTTTTCCCCAAGAAGTCTGAGATGGCTGTATAGCCTGACATTTTATAGCAACCTCAATAGCTTATTCAGATGGAATGATTCTTAAAACAGTTGGGAAGAATCATAGAATCATAGGTTGGAAAAGTCCTTTAAGGTCATTGAGTCCAACCATCAAGAAGATGCCTAAGAGAGGATAAGGAGGAAGTTACCTGAACATGGCCGATTTTTTTTTGCACGTGGAAGAATTCCTCAAAATTTACTCTCAAATCAAAATATCTACCTATGTATTTTCTGTTGCGCCTTTTCAGAAAATGGAGGGTCATTTTCAGTATGTCTCCCTAGTCATTTAAGCTTTATTGACCCACATAAAAAAATGTTTGCGAACACTTGGAAAGAAAAAAGATCTTCCAGATTTACATCTTCCAAAATGTTATTTTCTGTACGTACTGTGCCCCCTGCCTTCAAACTGTTCTGTAACAGCCAAAACTTTACGGAGCATTCATTCATCAAGCACACAGATAGCGCAGAATACACAGTCTCACGAGTGAAACTCAGGAAAGGACAAGGGGAAGGTTAAATGTTTTACAAGTGCATGTTGTTCAGCAAAATGAATTACAAGCAGAACACAATAATGAACTCCATAATAAATCAGGAAGGTCAACAGCAGGAAAGCACAAACAATACATATTATCCGTCACCGAATTAAGATGATAACTACCTTACTTGCCACACACGAGTTCCTTAGTTTCTAACAAAAGAAGTTAAGTACTGTGGTGGTTTCTAAAACAACATGTAACAGGCAGGGCACATCTATACTACTTCAGATGAATATGCTCAGAAAGGCTGTGGCATCTCAATTCTTAAGAGATACTACAACTCTACTACACAAATCAACTTACCCACTTGGGCCCTGCTCCAAATGGAGCACTGGACCAGATGGTCTCCAGAAGTCCATTCCAATTCAAACTATTTTATGCTTCTGTAAACTTTACATTAAGCTATAAAAGTATTATCATCAATGCATTAAGCCTCTGAGAAAACCTTGGAACATCAGAAAATTCCAAACTCAAGTCTTCTGATTCCACAGAACATCAAAAAAGGAACTTACAGGAAACAACTACTCCTACTAGCAGTGCTATCTCGAAGCCTCAGCACTTCTATCATGAACATGTCTAGAAGTCTGTACAATCACCATGATACTTACTTCTAGCCCAAAACTCACCACAAATTGTCACAATTTGAGAGGAGATCAAAATATTTTTTAGTTTTATTTCTTTTCTTCTGTAAAAACTGTAGATTTAAAGACTGTCATTTCACAAAAGCCTACTCTTTCTTACAAGTGGTCTCAGTGTTTTTACTTGCATGCTTTCTAGTATAAAGATTACACACAGCAAAAATTGTTTGGGCAACACATTTGAAAGCCGATCACCTAAAAGCTAAGCGTGTCCTTGTGCTTGTACATTATGATCCTCTTTACTTTATAAACCTGCTTTTGCAGAATCAAAGTATTTTTTCCCTCCCAGAAGTAATCTATCCCTTACTGTAAGCCTGGTGATCTTCAAATTGAATCTCCATCTCTCTCCCTGTCAAGCAACTCAAAGCCTGTCTCGTGCACAGTCTCACTGATGCACCCTGCAACACTTATTTCAATGCCTCTCTCCTCTCTGCTAGTTTTACCAAGTCCCTTACACTCTCTCGAAAGAAACCACTTTCTTCAACTTCTTGCTTCAGTCTATTTAACCAGTTATCTCTGCCACTCCTAGTCATATCCGTACTCCCTTCAAGCTCCTTCCATCCTCATCTCATACTCTTCTCATTGCTTCCCAGTCTCAGGCTCATTGCCTGTGGTTCATTACTTGGTTCTCTTGTCCCTCATCTCGTTAGATCTCCACTTTCTAGTCTTGACCATACTGAAGTTACATGCAATGTATACATTGCAAAATCAAATGAGCCTTATTTTGAATGGAACTAAAGTAGACTCAAAGTAAGAATAAAGTTAGAAATCTAAAGTATCTGAGTACTTAAAAAGAAAGCAAAAGAAAACAGATACAGGAAGCAATCCCCAGACAGACAGTACAGAAAAACATTGCTACTGAAAGAACCAGCCTCCTATTACACTTCTGCTAAGCTTGGCTATAAAATCCCAGAAAGAAGAAAACCAGCATGTGCTGAGTAAGTAATTCAAATACTTTTCCCACCACATATAAACAACTTCAAACTGTCTTCAAACTTGTCACTGTCTTCATTAAAACAGTAACGACTGGTATAACCTGCAGTGTACACCAACCTCACCAACCAACCAACATTGAAACTGAGCCTTCATGTGTTGATTTTTCAGGGATTTTTTTAACCAGGAGCCTGAAACACAGCCTTATAAGTATTCCTCAGATACACTACGGTATTTAATGTAAACCAAATTTAGCTGACAATTCCCTGACCCTCACATTTTCATACGTGTCTTAATCCCCCTTCACTTGCAGTGGAGATAAACAGAATAAATAAACTGTGTCTAGGAGTTTTGAAGTTGGACAGTAAAAGTTGAGAAAGCTTTGGCTTGCGTTTCAGGTGCTGAAACAAACAAAAACAGCAGAGGCAACAGCCTTTTGCCCTATTACACCTGGAAGCTTAGTTACATCGCTCACAGACAGGGAGATGATAACAGATACATTTTCAAACTTTGTTCCCTTTCAGAAAATGAACTTTTGTTCCTGGAAAGATGCAAAATACAAAAAACGTCCCTCTCCAATACTGCATTATTTTAAATAATACCATATTCTTACAAGGGTCCCATTTTAAGTTTCTCCACACGTCCCTGCTAACACATACTTCTGTGGCAAGTATTTGTTGCTTTTTAATGACTCTTTACCATGCACCATGTCTTTCACCTGTCCTGGCTAAATTTCTTATGTAATACAGCTTAATAAACAGAAAAGAGAACCAAGTTTGTTGAAATTACATACTTCCATTGCCAAAATACCCAGCTGTGTGCTGGGACATCAAAGAAAACTTCCAAACTGCAGTTCACTGTGTCTGTGAAATGAACTGTAATGCTGACTTTTTAGAAATGTAATCAGTAAAACGCATAGGGAAACTAAACATTAGCATAAAAAGCCCTCACTCACCTGCACCAGAGCCTCCTTCATAGCAGTCCAATTTGAGACCCTCCATGCACATTCCAGTACTAGGTAAGGATTTATATGACCTTTGGACTGGCCATATTCTGTCAAAGGTTCCCACTGGTTCAATTCTTTCGAGCAACTAAGAAAACCAAAGCCATTGTCAATTTGGTTACCAAAAAAATAAAATTTCAATGAAAGTGAATATAAATGTTGTGTATCAGAATATTATCTGCACATTTGTTTGTCTGAATAGCTCTGCAAGTACTGTATAAGTTTCATCCAGATGAGAAGTTTTTTTGTTGATTTTTTTTATTTATTACCAGTTATAACACAGAAATCTGTGAACAGTGAAGAGCTGCATTTCATGTCTCCCAGGACAACCACTTTAAAGAGGAAAAACAAATTTTAGCTTCAGTCTGTTTCCACCAACAGAAAATTACATCTTTACAACACTTCAGGCATATCACTTTCGAGGGTTTGTTAAGGGAGTAAAGAATACCATTTTTCTATTCCCTTAAGATTCCTTTGTATCTGAGCTAAGTCCTGAGCTAAATTTATTCTGGTCACTGATGCTTTAAACCAGCACTGTATTTTACTTATATTGCAGGGTAAAAATACCTGTTGAACATCAGCTTTAAAGTCTTACCGAATCCAATGGTCTTCCCAGAGCTGGTACTCAGGAAAGATTGAAGGAGAAGCATTATTCCGTTCATGCTCTTTTTTAGCCTTTTCCATTGCTTTTTCGTACGTTTCTTGTGCCTAAATAAAATTCAAACCATTTTATTTTTCCATCTGCTATATCCATATTAACTCAACATACTTTTTGTTTCAAAAAAAAGTGTTAAGAACACTTTCATAAATTCTAAGTTTAAAAAAAAAAAGATGGTCTGTTAACTCATTCCTGAATATAGCCATTGTTTGGCAGCTTTACAAATGCAATGAAAAACTGATGGATGTGCTCAAAAATCTCACCTTATCTAGGTATCACATGGCCTTAAACTACTACTTTACCCAGTAGCAAAGCTGTAGCACTTCCAATTTTAGAAGACTGAAGTTTTATTAACATTCAGAACATTTTCTTGCTCACCAGAATATTCATCCTGACAGCAGAACTACTCAAATGGTTTCTAATATCAAGAGTTTACCTGTTCAAAAAACCCATGTTGTTCATAGGCAATAGCTGTTGCTGTCTCTGGGAATTTACAGCGTTTCTGCCATAGTCCAGCCCACATATCCTCTTCTTGTAACAAAGAGTAGAGCTCAGCAAGGGAATCCAGTATTTCCTAGAATGTTAAGCACATATTTCTCCACAGTCAAGCTGTCCTTATAAAGCATAGTAGATAGCAAAACCACACGTTCTACACTGAGGCAAATTGAGAAAGACATGGAAACAGAGAATTGTTTAAACAAACTCTTTTAAAAACTCTAGAAGGCAACCAATTAGTAACAACCAAGTACTGAGAGCAACAACACTGTATTACATGACAAAAAAAAAAAACACCTATGGCTTGTATATTGATTCTTGCTTGTCTTCCCGAATATATCAGATCAAATCATAGAAAACAAAATTGTTTAACAAGCCAACAACTTGGTCTCTAATGTAAAAACAATCTGTAATATTTAGCTTCCTCAGATGATTGCAAACCTGCCAAGGTAGATCATAACTACCTGACAGACTACTAAAAACAGCAGCACCTGTTTACAGGGAACTCAATTTTGTTTAGCTAGTAATTCTTTAAAGGTCATATACCAAGTGACTTGATTAGGGAAAGCATACTCCCTTTGAGGGAGACAGAGACAATATAGACTTCTCCTCAAGATTTAATATTGGGGCAGAAATGGTTACATCTAGTTCTACAGTACTGCAGAGATACAGTGTCAAAACCAGATGGAAAAGAGGAGGAAAGAGAAAAATATGAAAATATCAATGACAGATGAAAGAAAAGCATGAGAAGCGGGTAAGACAAAAGTAGTCAATGTTGCAAGTGTCTCTATTCACAAACACACAAGGACAGCTATTTCTTCACTGAATTAAAAAAAAATTGACACTATTTTAACAAGCTTCTAAATACAAAGATTTAGAAGAGTTTGTCCCTTTGTACTCAGCACTGGTGAGACTGCACCTCAAATACTGTGTTCAGTTTTCAGCCCCTCACTACAAGAAAGGCAATGAGTTGCTGGAGCATGTCCAAAGAGCAACAAAAGCGGTGAAAGGTCTAGAAAGCAAGTCCTATAAGGAGCGGCTGAGGGAACTGGGGTTGTTTAGCCTGAAGAGGAGGCTGAGGGGAGACCTTATCGCTCTCTAACAACTACCTGAAAGGAGGTTGTAGTGAGGTGGGTGTCAGTCTCTCTTCCCAGGTAACAAATGACAGGATTAGAGGAAACAGCCTCAAGTTCTGCTAGAGGAAGTTTAGATTGGATATTAGGAAAAATTTCTTCACTGAAAGGGTTGTCAAGCATTGGAACAGGCTGCTCAGGAAAGGGGTGGAGTCACCATCCCTGAAGATATTTAAAAGACATGTAGACATGGCACTTAGGGACATGGTTTAGTGGTGGACTTGGCAGTGTTAGGTTTACAGTTGGATTCAATGATCTTAGCGGTCTTTTCCAACCTAAATGATTCTATGATGCTATTGTACTATACTGTCACTGTGTTTTTCTCTTCACATTTCATAAGGCATTTCAATTAATATAACACTACCTGTTGAGGAGGAGTTATGCTTTCCTGCTCATAAAATTCTGTTGTCTGTTTAGGCTTTATCTGTAGACTCAGTCCTTTTTCGAAAGCTTGATGTTCCAGCATGAGTGTAGAACGAAACCAGAGATTGTGAGTTTTACCCAAGTATTTCAGGACACAAGGTCTGATGGGAATGGGAGGAACACACTGTGACATTGCTTCCACAAAGCAATTCAATGCACTTGGCTGGCAATCTCGCTGTACTTGATGGCTACCACTGCACAAGAAAGGGCTTATTTCACCTGCTAGCGCCTGGAAGAAAAAAAAACGTAAGAATAGTTATCTATGTCATTCAGATTCTTCAACTAGAGAATTTAGATTTAAAATCTTGTTAATATAGAGCACAATCATTTGATAAGTGTAATTCTCTTTGTAAATTGAAGGGCCCTATTTCTTTGAAGAGGTGTATTGATAGAGGTATACAACGTTCACTAGTCAGAAAGAATGGTAAACTTCTCAAAGCAAGTGAAGAAGTCATTTATCTCATAAATACATTTTCCTGAAACACCAGTCATTTACAAAGAGGAATTTTAAGTGAGGAGAGAGAGAGATTCTCACATGTTGTTGTCTGTCAGATAAGATTTTCCAAAGTCGTGAAAAAAGCTGTATCCAAGTCTTTTCTGCTAATGGTGTAGAAATATGACATAACTGAACAAAGGCACTCAGCAATGCTCCAGTCTAGGAATAAAAAGAAAGAGATGCATATAATCGGGGAAAATACAATTAATAATCTGGAAAAACAGTTAACAGTTACAGTTGCTTAAGAAGCAATGCAAATGCCTTTTATAACCAACATACCAAAAATATGCTTCTTTTAGCAATATAGACTACTGTAACAAGAATTTAATTCTATTTTCATATTGATCGAGACTGATTCATTACTGTAACCATTCAAAGAAAAAAAAGAAGGAAAAAAGTTGATGACTGGTAATAGCAATAATCAAGTTAACTGGACAGGGCTGCTATTACTGTGACAATTATTTCAACATACGTTTCAGCTATAATTATCTTCTTGGAAATTATTTAAACATAAGATGCCAACACGTGTTTTTGATCCTATACTCAGTCTTTGCCACCACTGTTTTCTTAACTGAACAGTTAAAATACATTTACAGCTTGAACAGGATGAAATTTAACTTTGTAGGCAAGGCATATAGTAACAACTAGCAATTTAGTGAAGGCTTAAGAATTTTTTACCCTATGCAAGTAAGAAATTACATCAGATTATAAGAGATGTCTACATAAAATACCATCAGCTAAAAAAAATCAGAAGTGTCAGATAAAAATAAGGGGGGAAAAAAAAAAGGTGTCTCAAGTCAGTTTGAAGATTTCAGTATTAAAATGATTTGTCAGGAAACCAACAACCTGTACCAACCTTCACTTCTCGAAGAGAGTCAAGAAATTTGTCATGCCGGTTGGTCAACATGTGTAGCTGATTGCCAATGTCCTTCTCAGAAAGTTCCTTAGTTTTAGGTGTACTGGTCTGATCTCCCGGAGCCAATTCAATGTCTATTTCAACATCCTACACAGAAGTAAACAACTTAAAGCATGCAGATATTATCTAAGTACTTTTGCTTTTTTTCCAAACAAATACAAAACACCCTTCCGATCAACTTATTTCAAGTGCCACTACTTACGTTTGCTAGTTGTTCAGGTTCAGATACAGAATCGCTATAGTGCTATAGTAAACAAAAGGCTAAGCGAATGAATGTAAGTTCTGAGAAACCCACGCGTGCTTAAACTACAAGGTACTAAACACAGAATACACTGAACAATCCGTGCACATCATGTTCAAGACATATTCTCTAAACTCCTTTGATGAGAAACTAGGAAGAGCTATATTCCATCAAAAAGCTTTCTTTTTCTACAGTATTTCCTGTAAGTTACCTCTTCTTTGGATTCACTGTTTTCCCTTTCACGAGGCTCTTGTTTGACGTGGGTTACCATCGCGAATGCCGCTCTATCGTGACTGTCAGCAAGGTTGATAACATTGGTGATAGAGGGCAGCATAGCACCCTGGCAGCTTGTCCCAATTGTAGTATTCCTCTCGCACACCGCCAACAGGAGCTAAGACATTAAAAAGCAAGGAGAGTTTTTAAATATACATCTTACTGTAGTATTCTGAGGAAAACATAACTGTTTTAGTATTTATCAACAAGATAAAACTTACAATAATATGTTGAAGGCCTCTATCACCTTTATTCAATAAATATACTAATGCGTTTTCATCTTAATCTGATCACATTTTTTCACTATTTTGAAGGTCATGACTATACTTTCAAAATCGTTTTTCAAGCGTCTCCTGAAAATCTTGAAGAAATACAAATCTTCTATGCCTAAATTCTGTATTTTGTGCTTTTTAGCATGTATATTTCGTGCCCTCCAGCAGTTGATGTACACAAACTCTCCCCATCACAATGAAAGTCCTCCCAAAAAGTATATGGGAAAAAAAAAAAAAACAATGCTGGATTTTATCTCTCTGGAAGGAGTTAGAATACGTTTGAGAGTACAGTTATCCTCACAGTCACTTTAAACTCATGTTTTAATATGCAAATTTTTCCAAAAAAAGAAAAAAAAAAAAAGTTTTGTTCCAAACAAACCAACCAAAAAAGCAATTTGTTTTCAATGCAGTCCCACCTAACAGTTGGCGTACCACTAGAGCAGGTACTCCAGCCTTAACAGTTCTCTTGAAATCATCTACTGTAACAATTCTTGTATTCTTTTTTATAATCACCATCATTTATAAGAGATGGATTTTCTTAAGAAGTATTATCCTGGTCATTAAGCTTTTTACAGAGAAAATAGATTTTAAAGGTTGATATTAAAGCCACTTTCCAAGTATCAGCATTTCATGGTTTAGACACTGTAGTTATATTTAAGCACCACTGGAAGTATCTGAGGCAGCAGACAGGTTTTCTTCAGCTTTCATACAGATAATACATACTACAAGTCACACACTGCATAATGCTTTTACACACAGCCAAGAAAAATGGGGAATAAAAAATACTTTTCAAATAATAATTATACTTCTGATACAAATAATTTCCCTACCTCAATGCACTGTTTTATCCAAAAGTGATTTCCCATCGCTTCCCAGTTTTGAGAACAGGTCACATAAAGTAGGCGCTCGTAAACACGACGTTTCATAGAATTGTCAAAGACCTCAAAAAATTTGGCTCGTATGAGTGGTTGGGCACAACGCAAACCCGAAAGAAATGCTGGCTCAAGTTTAGCAGTAAGTTCACTACCAGAGAGATTCTCATCCCTAAAATAAATAAAGATGAAGTGACAGAGGCATTAGAAAGAGAATCCTTCCAGGTTTTGTATATAAAGTACTAAAAATCAAAAGAGCTGACATCCTGTAGAAGCCCACATGATGTGGCATGCACCCAGGTGCAGCATTTTGAGAGCACAGAAAATATTGCTGCTTGTTACAAAATTGCCCCAGAACTATCGTAAAAACTCTTTCAGGATAAAATCTTTCCATAATTGTGAAACAATTTCAGCTACATTTGCATCTTGTTTGAAATGCCAAATGATACTCATCAATAAAAACTTCTGACCACCATGTCCATACCAGGGCTTTGCACAGTTAACCAGAAAACAGAACAGAAGCGAACAGTAATCCAAAATAATGTGAATCATCAGCTCAAAATTAAATATCTGGCATTTTTTTATAAGGTAACTATGTTAATTACTTCATCATGCTACAAAACCTGCCAGTTTAGCTAGCAAAGTAACTCTCCTGAAAGTATAATTTACAATAAATTTCTAAGAAAAAAAAAAAATCTTTATACACATGAAAAGACAGACAGGTTTCAGCTGTCACCTCAGTGTTTAGAATACAACCAGCTACGAGGATGCCTTGGCATCCTGGAAAAGGAAGAGGTTGGGATGGTGGAGAGATTGTAGCAGAGCCAAAAAGAAAATCCTTTCTAAGAAATTTCAAATGGCCTGCCATAAATATGTATTGTGGTCCCAGTGAAATGATGTTGCATTTTAGGAAAATAAATAAATAAATTGCTTAATTCAGACCTAGAAAGATTGATGGCATGTTATAAAGGTCATATATGGAACAAATTATGAACCAATAAGCTGCAATAAATGATTAATTTCTATAATTACCTATAGACATAGTTAACAAGGTCCAAGAACTGAGCATTTAATTCAAGGTCTTCTGGAAAGCGCTTTTCAATGTAAGTCATCATTTTCACTAGTAAAATGGACTTCTCCCGGAGAGTAGGTGTCTGTGTTAAAAGATGACATGATTAATTTTGTCAATTCATCTCAAAACATGCAGAGAACTGGCACATTTAAAGTATTCCTCAGCCATCCTTTATATCACTCTCACTTCTAAAGTACTGAAAAATAGCTTGGTAGAAGGTCACAGTTCTTAAAAAGAAAAATAACTCAAGCATGTATCTTCTAATGCGCTAGAGAATTTTAAAACCATGACTAAAAACAGGTTTACGTTGTTCAATGATTATAAAAATCTAACATATATTTTTAAAAGTATAGGTCCTTTTCTACAGCACTAGATTATCAAGTACTCTAGAGTAAAATATGGCAAATTGAGAAGGCCACAAAAAGTTATAGGAATAACACAATTTAAACCAGCATCAGCCATCCTCCTCCAGAAGAATCTCTCTATCCAAGTTCATGTGAAACGTATTTTAAAACTTTTACTTTAAAAAAAAGTTCTCAGTAAAACAGCATTTGAGATCAAACACCTAGTGTAAGCCCATAAAATGCTAACCATCTTTAATTCCAGTTACTTTCATAGGGGACATAAAACATTCCAAAACTCATGAAGGGCATCTAAACACATACAAAAGAGCCTTACAAACCTCATTGTCAAAAAATGATGAATTGTAACAGTGACAAATAGTTATTTAGTATTTGAGAGCAATAATGATTTTATCTTCTCAATTTACCTGATTAGCTGCCATTGGGGAATTGTTTTTCACCCACTCTTCCACTATTTTTACCACTGCACGAAGAATTTTGGCATCAGTAGATTTTTCAATGAGAGATGTTAGAATAGCTTGTATAAAATTTTTCCTCATTTCCATGCTCATCACAGCCAAGCGTGTTTTCACAAGATCCAGGCTTAGCATTACCAGTTCGCTTGTACCTGCTACGGATTCAGAAAAAAAGGATTAAAGTTGTGCATACACCAATAAAACACCTAGTAAAGAAATTTTCAAGATAAGCTACTGTAGTTTTAAAAATAGCAACAATAATATCTGTTACCTGGAAACATATCCCTAGCAATAATGTTTTCAGAATTATTACTTTCCATTCCCAAACAGCTGAGACAGAATCCTTCCAAAAAAAACCAAATCCATTCAGAATCCTAAAGGAGAGCCTGTGTGGTTTCATTTCAGTAAAAGATATTACAGAACCCCAGTACTGAAAAACTGCAATTAAACTTGTGAAGAAATACTATATGATAGAATCATAGAATGGTTTGGGTTGGAAGGGTCCTTAAAGATCCCCTGGTTCCAAACCCCCTGCCATAAGCAGGGACACCTTCTCCATCCTTCCTGTAGGCCCCTTCAGGTACTGGAAGGCTGCTATCAGGTCACCCCGGAGTCTTGTCTTATCCAGGCTGAACAGCCCCAACTCCCTCACAGCCTGTCCTCATAGGAGAGGTGCTCCAGCCCTCTGATCATCTTCGTGGCCCTCCTCTGGACCCGCTCCAACACATCCATGTCCTTCCTATGTTGGGGGCTCCAGAGCTGCATGCAGGACTCCAGGTGGGGTCTCACGAGAGCCGAGTAAAGGGTCAGAATCACCTCTCTTGACCTGCTGGCCATGCTTCTCTTGATGCAGCCCAGGATACGTTTGGCTTTCTGGGCTGCAAGTGCACACTGCCTGCTCAGGTCGAGCTTCTCATCCACCAGTACCCCCAAGTCCTTCTCCTCAGGGATGCTCTCGAGCCACTTTCTGCCCAGCCTGTACTTGTGTTTCAGATTGCCCCGACCCACATGCAGGACCTTGCACTTGGCTTTCTTCATTCTTCATGAGGTTCTTAGAACTTCATGAGGTTCACACAGGTCCACCTCTCCAGCCTGTCAAGGTCCCTCTGAATGGCATCCCTTCCCTCCAGTGTGTCAAGGAGCTCACCTATTCTGTTCACTTAATTTGCTGATTTGCTTATCTGTCATATTTAATAATTTTCCAATTGTTTCTCAGTCTACTTAAAATATGGGCAAGGAATCTAATAGCAAAGTATTCTTTCAAAGTATTTTCTTCAGTAGCTTACTCATTAATGAATTAGTGCTCTTTACTAGCACAATTTTCTTCTACAAGCACATCTCATTTTTTCAGTGACTCATAACCTAATTCATTTGATGACAGACAGAATTTTAGACTGACAAAGATGCCATTTTAAGATAAAAACAAAAGCATCAGCTCCAGCAAGTTAATTTCACAAACAGTTGTTTCAATATTATCAAATAGGAATGAGTAAAAAAAAGTGAAAGTACAGAATAATCAAAAAAATCCAGCCCCTCTCTGCTCAAAACTATAAACTCTTGAATTTCAGTATTTCTGTACATGCTGTAGCTCAACAAATATTCACTAGCCATTCACTAAAACGTCTGGGTTAATACTGAAATTCCTAGAGTAAGCTGGTAACATGAACTCAAAGTACATTTTTATTCTTCGGTACTTCAGTAATAGCTGTCACTGATACTGAAGTATTTTCCAACATATACTAATGCACACAAAACTCTACAAAATCATTTGAATCCTTTCAGGATTAAGAGCTTTTAATACTTTAACCATTAACATCCTTGGACCACATTATGCAATACCTGTATTTGCTTCTGCTGTTCCTGTAGTAGCCTGTGGGTTTAAGTGCTCCCTGACCATCTTCTGCAGAGATCGCATAAAAACCGAAATCAATCTGTCAATATAGCTGGGATTGTTACTGCACGCAGACTTCAGAATCATTAAAGTACCTACAGACAAAATCAGACAAAAACAATTCTTAAGGAAGTAAAACTTTTATTGAGCATGACTTGAGTAAGATATAGGTTTTCAATGTGGAGGTTCTCATTCTATGAAAGATGAAAGAACACAGGAAAAGGTGCTAGCTGCATTTTTGTCCTGCTATGAAAGAAGCATGGGACTATCCAAGTTACAAACACTAGAAATCTGGACAGATTTGAAGAAAAATTTCAGTCTCAATTTTCGTCTTTAGTCTAAGACTAAAAGGCTATTTTTGCATTAATCAAAATATTTGAATGTTCTGTATATAAGTGTGTGATGGAGGGCAAGAGGGAGAAAGGGAGGACAGCAAGAGAGGGACTGAGAGCCGACACTTCTCCAAGACTTTAAGAAAATTAAGAAAATAAAGAAATACAGTTAACTAGGCAAAATGAAACTATTCCTAGTGTTGCATGTTTGTTTTAGTAACAAAAAGTAGCAAAAAAGTTTTACATGAATATGCCTGGGTTTAGTAATGAAAAATAAATTTAAAAAATAACACAGTCTTGGTTTTCTAATTTAGAAGATTTATGAATTTCAATCTACAGTAACTGATTTCTGAAACAAGTTAACTATTGAAACCGGTAATTTCAGCACAGTTTATGAATGCCACTATGCCTACAAGATCAGTCCCTTCAAATTAGACAGTTGTTAACAATGCCTATCCTAATATAAGCTTATCCATATTCATGCAAACCAATCAGTTTTAGCATAACTGTGCGTTAAAATAGTTAACCCTTCAAAAAAAGTACACACATTCCGTCAAACCATACCCTCTAAAAAAAAAAAAAAAAAAAACAACCCTACAGCTATCCCTTTTCTTACTGCAACTTCATAATTCAACAAAAGCCAACAACAGTATTTACAGAAGTGTGTTCTGTTCATTGAATGTCTGCTTCAAAAGTTTTTATTTCTTTTCCTGCTCAAACGTGCACAAGATTTGGCACACAGAGTCCAGCCTCTTAAATACAGAATGAAGAAGACTTGCACCACCTGACAGTTAGATTGTTGTGCTGCCTTTACATGAGCTCTGGGCAAAGCGTAAGAAACATCTTTCTTGGTTAGTCTGTTGTAAAGCACATCCCGACGTCTGACAAACAGGCAATTCCCGAAGCGAAATTACAACTATCTGCGCAGATCAGAGAGTAGAATAGTGAAGGACATATGCCATTTAAATCAGCAAGTTCCAAAATTGTGCAATTTCAGGTCTGTATTACCAACACAACCAGTTCTGGGCCAAACATATACCAATATATCTTTGTCATTGTATTATACAGCTGAGCTGTCTACCAGTTAAATAAGTACGAATAGCAAGCAAAGACAAACCTTTCAGCTCTTCAAAACGGTAAATGCTAAAAACTCAGATTTCCTCACTCCAGAAAAAAAGCAGCATTTTTGTAATTTCTCACTTAGTGAGCATTCAAGGTCTATAAACAAAAAAATCTTCCTACACTATTGAAATCAGCTGATAAATGAGACTCTAAAAACAACTCAAAAAAAAAGTATAAGGCAATAATGTGTAAGAATGTTTACACAGATTCCTTGACATAGTCTACTGTATCTCAGAGTAGTAGCCGCAGGATTTTAGTTTTTCCATGTAACAAGTTTCCAGTAACGTCTACTTTACATTTTAACTAATCCAAATGCTGCATCTTTTTCCCCGTGCCCTGTGAACGAAGAAGGCTTCCGTCTAGCACAGCTGCAGCTCCCCACTTGCAATAATTGCTCCTAAGTCAGCTACCAGAAGACAGAATGCAATGAAGCCCCCAGTCCCTTTCTTCACAGATGACAGACGTCCCAAGCTCATTTCTCAAGTTAGCTCCAAATGCTTCCCACAGCTTCCTCTGCATGATACCAGATTTTGATTTCCTTATGGAAAATAAAAGCTCATGACAAAGATCACGCCCATTAATGCGCACCCTACATACGTCTAGTAGAGATGTGGGAAACTTACCAAAGAGCTGAGAAGGGTTAGCATTAGTGGCTTTTTCGTAATTAGTAAGTCCTTCATAAATAACCTTTCCAACTGCAGCATAAAGGCACTCCAGCTCTTCATACTTTGAAGCTACACTTGAGGTACCTGCAGAGTTTACAGAGTTATGTTTACTTCTAGTAACATTAGAGATGGAACAGACAAGAAACAGTTACACTGTGAAAATACAATCCTCTGTACCATCACCGGAACTTTATCTTGCTAATACACCAAGATAGCACAAGCAGATTCCTCATTTATACAAACTTCATTATTATATAACCAGTATCTAACTTCTATAATAGTGCATGACTACTTCTAAATAACTCGTTTTGATGAGAAGTCTTAGATTGTTGAATTTTTTTCAAGAAAATATCTATCTAAATTAGTTTAAGACATGGCATATTACTTATTGTCTTCCTTTTTACACTGTATCTCCCTTCCTTGTAGCAAAACAGCAAAGCTTAACAACTAAAAAATTGCATTTCTGAAGCTGAAAAATTATAATTGTAAAAATCCATTAAATTTATAGCATGTATTTCTTGAACCAAAGTTATGACAGCCACAGGTTATTAAGTTTTTATGTCAATGGATAATGATGTATTCCACATGATTACTTATTTCAGCTTTTCTTTTTTTAAACAGAGGTTGAAAGTGCAAGCTAAAATGGACCATTAAGTGCAGGAATCATAAAACAGAATATTAGCACATTCCAAAGAGTGTCTTTCCCATGCCCTTAATCAGTTAAGTTATGCAGCAATAAAGGATAAAAGGAGAAAGAAAACATGGCATACTTGGTTCTGTAGGGAAAATGCCCATCAAGCGAGAAAGAAGACTGTGAACTGCTCTCAAATCCTTTGTGTTTCCACAAGTCATACAAGCTGCTACACCTCGTTGCAGGGGTTTGAAGCTGCTAAGAATAGCAGGAGGCTGCAGTACAGTTAACAGGAAACTTAATACCTCTAAACCAGTGCAAATGTTGGCGAAGTTGGCCTGATTGGGTTGTTCCTAAAGAGAACACATACAAAAAACACAGTGAGTAGGGGAAAACACACAAGTATTACATGGATTAGTAAGTCCAGATCAAATCTGCTGAAAACCTGTAATAAAGTTTAGGTTTCTATGCTAGCCATGTTTCACGTCAAACCTTTGAATAAGTCATACAATATAAATACAAGGTGCTATAAAATCTTTAACCACAAAAATGTTACTTAAGCATTTACAGTACACTCCTCCTGATGTTTTCTGCGGTGCTATTTTGAGAGTTGCCTGCAACCTTGCTGGTTGGAAGTGCTTTCGGCAGAGGATAATGTTTTCTCTTTCTGTCAACTTCTTTCAGAGACAGACCTTCAGTGAAGAGCTAAAACAGCATATTTTACGATAAGTTACAGCTTAAAGGTTAGAAAAGGGGATATTTGCATCTAAAGAAAAAAAAAAAAGAAAATATTCCTAGACTTACCTTTTGTAAACCTGTAAAATGATCGTTAAGATTGTAAATTACCCCGTTTGCTGCAAAAAGCTTTATTCTTCTTTCTCAACCTCCTGAATAACTGATGCCACATAGCACAAAATTAAGAAATGAAATTCCTGTTCCAGAGGGCTTATATCCTTGTATTAAGTAAACATCAACCCCATTCACCCCGCTCAGGTCTGTGGGGTGGTATGGTGCGTTTGTTCTGAGGTGGGGGAAGGAGAAGTGGAGTGGACTAGGTTTTGATTTTGGCTCGCTCTTAGATGCGATGCACTTTGTCCACCTTCCCCAAATTCATAAAAGATGATAAACTCGAAGATATGTCTGAAAAGCAGAGTGAAGAGACAGCAGTTGTCATTCTGGAAGCATATGGACTCTCTGAACTGTGCTCTCTAAAGTTATTTCTACACCTTCACCATCTTCCCCTCTGTTCCAGAAAGAGAGGGCAACGATGGTCTGTACATAACATGCAGCTCTTCTTCAGCAACCAGCACGCAGATACTCACAACTTTCTCTGTCTTCAGCGCAGAGGAATCACTTAAAGTCATGATTTTCCTGAAGTCATACTGCAGTTACTGCACAGCCTCCATCACTTGGCAATAAAATAGCTTTGCAATTGTGTAACTGAGGAAGATTAGTAGGAAATAATCTTCATGCAACAACGGCTGGAATTGACTGCAGTTCTTCCTGTTGTAGGCTATCAAATGCCATCAACAGGAAAAGAGTTATGAATTTTAATGGTAATTTTCACTCAGGTTGCACACTACTTGGGAAAAGATGAGTAAAGCAACAAATAATAGCTCCCTGGAGCACTATCAATGCTTGTAAACCCAAAGCAAATGGAGCCACATCAAAAATTCTTCCAACAGAAGGAGAGAAGGATAAAAGCAGATACTTGCCCTTTCAAGGGCTATCTCCATAAAGACAACAGCATTATGAAAGCATAGCACATTTAGATCAACATTTAGAAAAAATGGGCCACAGCAGTTTTTCATGTAATTTTAGACATTTTAAAGCTTCCAAAAGTAGGATACATTACTCCTTTATTCAAAGAAATAGAAAAGTGACATCAAGAGAGCTCCTATAAACTTAACACAGTAAGAGTTGCTAGTCTAGTAAAGAGTACGATACAAATACAATAGGTGTGGAAAAACTTACTCTATGGCAAAATGCATACAGATGATGAACAAAATATGTTGTATCATCAAATACAGGAAGCTAGCCTTTCAGTGAACTCCATATTACCATAACAGCCAGAAAACTTGGAACCAAGAAAATCAATCTGTAAAACTTTCTACTAACAAAAAAAACCCCACCAAATCCAAAACAAAAAAAAAAACCCAACCAGCAGGCCATCCAAACAAGCAAACTACAACCTATTTCAAAATCAGAGTAATATAGGAAGTTACTCTGCCTTCTCCTAAATCTATTTTAATCTTTGTAAGTACTGCAGCTATACAAATTATAACCACTGATGCAATTCAGATACTTGACAATTCATATATTTCACTACAAAGAAGAAAATATTAAGACTGTAAAAATCAGTATCCAGATATTATTAGTATGCAATCAAATATGTGCTAGTGAAACCTAAAGACCTACAGGACTAAAACGTTACCTACCACAGTCATTAGCAGCTTATCGAACCACTGCAACTTCAGTTCTGATTTTGGCCACATGTCTGGTCGTAAAGCTGTTTTCAGCAGGTTGACACAGCGGCGAGACAGCAATTCCCCAGGAGATCCAGCAGTGTTTGAGTTGTCATTTACCTAGCAATTAATCAGAGTTAACAAAATGACACCCTTTTGTAACCAACTCATTAATTTATTGTGCATTCCAAGCAAGCATATAATTTCTTATTTCTGAAACAGACGAGCTTAAGCCAGTTTTATCAGTACAGTCACAGAGTATTTAACTGCATAAAAAGCTGACAACTGTTGTAAACACCACAACTAATTTCTAAACTGCTAGCTAATAACCCCAAATCACCCATCAAAGGTATATTAAAACCAGTTTAATCCTATACGTTATCAGTGCAACTGTGAACATGCTCAAGATGGTTAATCTTTTGTTTGCAAGGTATCCATAAACATATGTAGCTCTTTACTCAATTCATCTTTATACATCAAGACCACGTCTATTCTGTGCAATGGACTGTGGTGTATAAAATCCCATGTTACTTACCAGCCGAGTGGGCTGCAGAAGCCATAAAATTTGTCAGCTCTGAGCTACACCCAGCTAATTTTCCCCACTCTAAAAAAGTTAATTCTCAACAAAATTTGGTGAAAAGTTTTAGTTCTACACACTGCATAACAAGAAGTAATTCCATGTATTTGATCTTGAAAATACAATTACAATCTTTACCCTTTGATAACATTAAATAACATAATTGACATAGTCTTTCCCTGCTAAACTCTCTAAATATTCTTCAGTTTTTGGGTAAAGCATTCTTGCCATTAAACCTAGGCAATCAAACAAGCATACTTTGCAGCATCCAGCAAATACACAAACAAATTAAGATAAAATACTTATGGGAACTTTGTTCAGCTACAGTCAAATTCTACTAGTCACATTTATTTCAATCATGCCACTCCTGATCTAGTACTTGCTTGAAAAGAGAAAGTAAAGAACAAACAAAATGCTAGAAGTGATCAACAGCACAGTAAAATGGAAACTCTTTCCATTTCTAAATGTGAACAGTTGCAATCCAGATTTTGAGTTTTCAATTCAAAAGTACACACTCCCTGCATCAAGCTATGAACGTACAACAATAAGGAACTAAAGCATACCTCATGTATAATATTCAACATTTGTGAAATGAAAAACATGCAGAAACTGGTTATCAAATTCAATTTCTTTCCTCCTTAAAATAAAAACACTACTTTTTGTACAATTTTGTATTTAAGTTTCTAACCTTTCAGCAAAAGGAAATACATAAACACAAGAATAATCCAAGCATAAAAGGATCCTTATGAAAAGCAGGTTTTATGGTTTTGACTACTAAAGCTGCACTGGTATTTGCGTATCGGAATAAACATACTACCTGGCAAGCAATTCTAATCAAGAAATTAACGACTGTATCTGTATGCTGCTTGTCAATTGGCTTGGAAAGCAGTGCATCAGCTCCTGACAAGGACTGGCTACGTCCAAATACCTGCATGTACACAAAACACAAAAACCATAAGCAACACTGAAGGAGGATAACATCAAGCAGAACAGATTTGGAGTATTTTCTAAAAGCACAACCTTCCATTCAGAGAGTTTCGAGTTATGTGGAAAAAACAGGAAAGCTAAATTGCAAGTTATAAATTTGAGTCGCTGAACAAAATCTGCATTTTTCTTACAGCGCTTATTGCTCCCGTAGCTGTCCTGAATCGCTTTACTTCTTGGCCAGAATCAACAGACAATCCTCTTTTAACAGCAGATGAGGCAGAACTTGCTCCTTCTCCACTTGCACTTGAATCCATATCTGAATCTGGCTGAAATATCAGCAATGTGCATGTTAAAAAAAGCATTTAACTGTGTAACAGTTGAATCTTTACCAGTTTATTTAGACTACCTACCTGCTGGTCTTTAATTCTTTGCAATTCCCACTTAATAACTACTTCAGCAAGATCCACAGCTAATTTTCTTTGCTCTATTGTAACACTGGGAGTGAAGCCCAGTCTCTGCATGGCACTAACCATATGCTGAACCAAGTGATGTCTCACCGGATAATAAACCTGAAAATATGGATTCACAGTCACGTTAGCCATTAACCAATAAAATTCTACACAAAAACTACAGAGTCGAAATAAAGCAAAATGGTAAAACAGTCTTTAATCCCTACGTTTGCAACATCTGTACCGTGTTCAAGTTTTGCAATCCAGAAGAGTAACCGGTGCTTCAAAAATAAAATTTTGGCTACAATTTTCAGTAGTGACTACTGATTTCATGTACCCAAATGAAGATGTTCTGCTGAAGATACATGATTTTTCTCAAAGACCAATCATTCTTATTCTTTGCTGATCTATTTACAGCTACAATCCACATTTGAACATATTTGGCTATTTTTTAAAAAAAGCATGGAGGCATCTGTTCCTGAAAAGCGACTTAAATGCATTTATTAGCTAGCTGTCACTTTAGACCATATTTTAATGCGCATTTTCAAAAATCCTCCTATACTGACATTCTGCAGCATTCCCCCATTTGTTTAATGTTTGCCAACACACATTAGCTGGAGATAAAAGTTTCCTAGTCAAGCCCACAGAATATATGAAGTCAAACAAGGATTACTGGAGGATGGAAAAGAACATGTTTCTGCATTTTCTTTAAACAAATCTTCACAGCTCTGTTAAGGAGCACTGCTAATGCACGTGCAATGAATTAATCTTGCAGACTTTCACCTGACATTTTGAGTTCTAACTTCAATCATGATAAAGCTTAGTAAGTGGTTTGCTATTAATAGCCGTTTTCAGTTTTAAATAAGTATCTTTGCAGACAGCTGATGCCTTTTGAAGCTAAACTATGTAAATCAGATCATGTTATTTTCTAATCAAACTACAGTTTACTTTCTTCATATCTGAGATACAGTGACTACCAGAACAACTGGTACAAGTACCTTGAAATGTTGTACTATCAAGTGCAAAATATGTACTAGTTGGGGAACTGTATGGCCCTCTTCCACAATGATTTTTCGGGTCCAGTGAGTCAGCATCTGATGTCCATCCTCCATTCGAGCAGGCACAGCTGGAGTCAGAATAGCCATCGCTTGCCTGACAATAGCTCGGGCCTCCATTGCATGAGCTTTTAGAAGACTGTGAAAAACCTAAACAGCAAAGTTTCTGATCCACATTAATATTATACATATCTACAAAAATAAAGCATTTATAAAGAAAGAGAAACTACAACATTTTCTAAACAACACTATTTTTTCCTAAAGGTCCATAATTTGGTAATTATACGATGATACTTCATTATCAGAAGTATACAGTGTACACTTCTGTCTCCCTTACGTTCCGTTTTTTCTTCCTCCCTCTCCACTGTCCAGTTTGAAGTTTTCCTTTGGTGCCCACATTCTGTCTCAACTGAAATGTCTGCCTCTTAAATGAGGAAACATTACCAATTTTGTTAATTCAACCAAAATGAGTTTTCATTGTCCCATTTACCCCGTTTTCACTTTTCTTTAGACTTCTTTCTGTACTCTCCTATCTCTGAAATTGTCTTTTGCTGCTCCTGTATTTCTTTGCCGCATATGAATTTCATTGTTACTTATACACTAAGTATCCAAAACTATCGTTTTACTATGCATTTTAAAATGAAAGAAAGCACACTACAGAACTTATTAACACCCATTAAATCTATGATTACAAGCCCTTAGAGTCAATACCTGAAGAACTATCTTCTTATGTATGGCAAATTTTGCAATGATGTGTGCCAAAAGCAAATGTCCACTGTATTTACACGCTGGATCCACACATGCCTTGGACAAGAGACAAGGCCAAGCAAATGTCATTAGGCGTCGTAGTTTGCTGTTCCGGTTTTTGTTATTGTCGTGAATGTGATGTGGAGCATGCTCAACCAGAAGCGTGGCAAACTGCAAGAGATATATCCTGAGAGAATCCAGCATATCAGCCTGTTTTTCCGGATCAAGCACCTAGTCCCAGGGACAATAAAAGAGGAGAGGAGGAAGGTGAAAAAGAAACAAAACAAAACAAAAAATCCAACTTTATTATAATCTGTAAAAGCAAAGTCCTAGTTTTTTTGCTTTTTAAGTGGTTTTTAAGAACACTAATAACTATAAACACATTTTTGAATCAGTTTAATAACCACAAAACAACTTCCTGAGGTCAGAACTTTTAAATAATGAGCAGATCTAGGAAATTCCAAAGTGCTAACCTATTCAAAAAAAACAAACCTAAACCCTCATCTTCAACAATATCTAGTGAATTACAAAAACATCGATGTTCTGTCATGGTAAGCTTTGGTTATGAAAAAGACTAGAAATGAGCTTACATGGCTGTAATCCCAAAGACAAGACATGCAAGTCAAAGAGACATCATAAACTGAAAATTGTAGTCCAGTCCTACTGATGACTGATGGATCTCACAACAGCTCAAAGTTAAGATGTGATTTGATATAACTGACACTAGTATTTAGAAATAACACAACTAATTCAAATCAGGATTGAAAAGCCAAATGAGAGGAACAACTTTTTCTTTTAATGACAAGTGCTGTTCCTCAGGGGTCACTACTGGGACCAGTGCTGTTTAACATCTTTGTCGGCGACACAGACAGTGGGACTGAGTGCACCCTGAGCAAGTTTGCAGATGACATCAAGCTGTGTGGTGCAGTCGACATGCTAAAGGGAAGGGATGCCATCCAGAGGGACCTTGACAGGCTGGAGAGGCAGGCCTGTGCGAACCTCATGAACTTCAACTAGGCCAAGTACAAGGTCCTGCACGTGGGTCAGGACAATACCAACCACAAATACAGGCTGGGTGGAGAATGGATTGAGAGCAGCCAGGAGGAGAAGGACTTCGGGGTGCTGGTTGACAAGAAACTCAACATGACCCTGCAGTGTGCGCTCGCAGCCCAGAAAGCCAAACGTATCCTGGGCTGCATCAAAATAAGTGTGGCCAGCAGGTCAAGGGAGGGGATTCTGCCCCTCTACTCTGCTCTTGTGAGACCCCACCTGGAGTGCTGTGTCCAGCTCTGGAGCCCTCAGCAAAGGAAAGACATGGACCTGTTGGAGGCG